GTCTTTAAAAAGTTATAGCCAAGGATGAAATCTTTTTTGTTTAAAGAATCAAAACTATATAAAAATATCGCCATACACAACCTTGTTTACGTATATAATAATAACAAGAAACATTTATATAGTGCTTACTCTGTGTCAGAATCTGTTCTAATCACTTAAAATATTAATTCTTAATGCTCATGTTGTGGGCCACTCAGGTCTACTCCTTCCCAAGGTCATGTATTTTGGTGAAGGGAAAAATGATTTATTCGAAGCTAGCTCCAAAGGAGATACAGGAGACTTCTGACAGCCTCACCTCGCCATTTCACTGTATTCAGGACATTTATCATAAGGCAGCGAGGGGAGCAGTACAGTGAGATGATAGACCACAGAGTTTCCACAGTGTTTCATGGAATAAAATATTGTCATCCTTATTTTACAGAAATAAAGGCACAGAGAGGCTGAGTAATTTGTTCATAGTAACACAGCTAATAAACAGTAGAGCTGAAACTTGAACCAGGCTCTCTGGCTCCAGGACCCATGCTTTAACGACTGTTATCTTCCACCCTTTACTACTTTAGAATTTACAGCCCTACAATGGAAACTGAGCTTTTGCTTTTATAATGTCTCTGAAATATGAGGTTACCAAATACTAGAAATTAATGCTATCAGCAAAACTATAAAGTTAACTTTCTGCAAAGAAAAATTGTTTACCTGACGCTGTCATTTAAAACAAATGGCTGGTATTCTTATTGCAAATTATTTTTGTATGTTCATTGCAAAAGGACCTGAAGGACATTGTGGGGGAGTCAATATTTTTCTTAATTTGCTACTAAAGTGGTTACATATGAAAGTAATAAAAAGTCATATTTCTTGAGGATCTTGGAAAGATCAATCTTTCCTAAGAAAAAACAAAACCAAAGTAGCCTTCTCTTTGAATAGACTGAAGATCAGTTGAGAAATTAGCCACTTGCATATATGTAGCTGGCGTTTATTTCAAAAGCATTCACCGCGTGCTTGCTTTGGCAAACATTCATGGAATGGCGTGTCCTTTTCGCAGTGTCTTGTTCTGCTGATTTGAAGAGCATTATTTGAAGTGGTGTCCCAGTTAGTAGAAGTGTGGCCATCCTATAAGCATGTGGTTTTTTGATTGTCATTCTTCTGGATCTTTTTATTTTAAGATATCCTTTGACTCATTAGCAGAGGCTCTCTGCTCAAGAGGGATACTCGCATTTTGTAAGTTGTCGCAGCAAGTGGTGCAGCTAAGTCAGGTGGCAGGTTATGGGTGGAGAGCTGGAGAAGAGACTGAGAGGTCCCCGTGACACCGCAGCGCTACTCTCCTAGGCCACGCCCCTCCTGCCCCGTGGGACTCTGGTGTATCATGTCCTGAATGACAGAGTGATGACGTGGCGTAGGCCAGTTTTCCGAAGTGTGGCTGAAGCTTCAGGAGCAGTCAGTGCATCTCGGAGATGGCCAGCCTAGCACTAGGTGACACTGAATCAAGGGGTAAAGCAGGTATTTCCTCCTCTGCCTTCTTCCCATCTTCCTCTCCGTTAAAAACGAATGTCTCAGTTTAGCACCCCACAGATTTCACTCTTCTCAAATCTTTCTTTTATAACAAACATAGGAAGGCCACTCACACTCCCAGCTTTGATAGGTAAGTGTGTTTAAAATCTGATTTCATTGCTTTGTTTTTCCTTCTTTCTTTGCTTTGTTCCTTCGTTCATTCCTTCCTTCCTCTCTTTCTCTCTCACTCTGCCTTTCTCTCCCTTCCCTTCCCCTTCATTTCCTCCCCTCCCTTGCCCTCACTCCTCTTCCTTCCCCTCCCTTCCCCTCCTTGCCCCTCCCCGCCCCTCTCCCTTCTCCTCTCCCCTTCTTCCCCTCCCCTCCCCTCCCCTCCCCTCCCCTCCCCTCCCCTCCCTTCTCTCCACTTCCTTCTTTCATCCATGGTGCTGGAGAGTGAACCCAGGACCTTCTGCACGCTGGACAAGCTCTCTACCACTGAGTCATCTTCCCGGCTTCCCCTTTTACTTTTGACTGGGAATCTTGGCTGCTTACAGTAAGGATAAGCTACTTTTTAAAAATACAATTTAAATATAATTTTAAAGAAAAAAGAGTATCTCTGAAGAAAGTACTAAAGAACATAATAATATAGGTTCTATGGAGCTGTGGAAAATTGTGAGTTTGATAGAGGAATGACAGAGGCTTGAAAGTGCAGGTCTGATGCCAGATGCTAGTGTTTTAGAGATTCACAGTCTATTCTTTAGAAACTCTTAGAACCAGATTTGTTTTGAAGGTCAGCATTCTCAGATCTTTTGGCATGATTTTTATAAATGGAGACATTGGGCAGTGCTGTCTCAAGCAGGATGTTATTTCTGCAGCAAATGTATGAATGTTCACTCTAAATGGGGTAAATACAGACTATATATGAGCTCAGCTCTGATTCTTTCACTAAGTATGTTTTTGAACCAAAAATAAGAAAGAGTTGATTTTTCAGAGTTTTCTAGATTTCAGGCTTCAGCTAAGAGATTGTAGACCTGTCTTGATAACTTAATTACATCACTTTTTAAAACCTCTAATCAAATCATGCAGAAAACAAATTATACTCCAACTTGGACCAGGTACCTAGACTCTGTCATCTTACAGAGTATTAATTGGACATGATCTTTTCATAGAGTCTGATCTACCTACCAGGGCAGGTAGACTTGCCTGGGAAGGAAAGTGAAATCCAAGCCTTTTACCTGTATATAGGAAAATATAAAGAATTTCTGGTTTTGTTCACCTTTAAAGCAAGCGGTCAGTGTTATTTGGTCATTAAGGCCATGGCTGTTGGGGGACTGGACAGTGCATTCCCTGGGACCACATAATCTGGGAAAGTATTTAATTTGATTCTGTATTTTAAAAGTGAAGTCCTCTCTTGCTTGCAATTGTCTGGTTGAATATCTGATTAGCGCTTAGGTGAGTGTAGTTACCAATAATGCCTTAATTTGGCAGTGATTAAAGAGGAATAGAAACAGATCCTTAAATGTGAGGACTGAAATGCCAGGTGTTTTACAGTCTCTGAAAATCTGACATCAGAGAGCAGTTAAACTGGATTAATTACACTTCAGGGATCCATGCGGACTCATTTATTTTAAAAATGTTCTGTAAAATGACAAATGAGTGAACATTTTTTTTTAACTTCAGAACACATTGGATGTGCTTCATCAGGTTCTTGATTTATAGCCTCTGGAATCTTGCTTTTCTTTTGTGTAATTAGAACAAAGATGTATAGTAGCTGATCATAAGGGTTACACTTGTGAAGCACTTGTAGACTTTGTATATTATCTTGCTAGCTATTTAAATAAATTAATAAAACAATACCTGGTAGATATAAGAAAATCTTTTCACTTACTTTGTATATTTTCTCAAGAAACTTAATAAAACCTCATTTCGATAGGGAAAAGCAGATTTAAAAATCTAAAGCCAGGACCATTTGGCTTGTATGTTCTGTGCATTTTTGAAACTTTTATATCAGCCAAGATTTCTATGAAAGAATAGAATCTGTAATTATTGTACATCAGTACTCTTTTTATTTCCTGATCCACTCTTGTGGGTTCATCCAGAAATTATGCAATAGGAAAGAAGGAGTGGAACATGTGTCATTTCTAATGGCACTGAGGCAACACTGTCCCTTTGGTACCCTCTTACAAAAATTTACTGGAATGTGACACTGGCTTTACCCTGTTAAAGTCGTCTGCAGCTACTCACAGTCTGTTAGTAGACTGTTACCCAATGCACTATGATTGGTATCAAAATCTCATACCTCTGACAGAACATGCTTAAAAGTTATTACTCTTACTAATAACAAAAATAATGATAAACATCAAACACTTTGTGTCACTTGCTTTATATATCTGAACTCATTTCCGCTGCATAGCCGCGCTATGAGGAACCCATACTAATAACCCACTTCTGAGGATGAGAAAACTATGGATGTCTGGAGATTGCACAAATGGGTTGAAGTCACAGGAAACAAAGCCTTCTGGAGAGAATATATTTTATTGCCTTCAACTCTTTGTTCCCTACACACACAACATCTCTACTCCCTGGGACTCAGTTTTAAGCAACTTCATCTATTTGGAGCAAAGCTGAGAACGTGGCAGCAGGCGACACATTTGTGTAATTAAGACAGAAGAGAACTCCACATGTGGGACTGCGTGTGTCCCACAGGCACTGCAGAGCCAGATCTGCTAGGTGCTTACTGTCTTCGAACTTATGTAAGGAGTTCTTGAGTGTGAAGCTACCATAGTGTGAGAATCCCAGCACAACCATTAATGCTCGTATGTTGTGGAAGAAGGGACATCAAGATCGATTTAATCTGTTGGAAATCTAAGGAGAGAGTCTAACACATTACAAAGCTCCCTAATGATTGGAAAAGTGATGCTTTAAGTGGGCATATATTTATCTCTCTAGAATATTCATCTATTACAATGCTGAGACAATCTGAGAAGTTTTGGGGGTAGAAGAGATTTGCATGTAGGTCTTAAAATATGAAGACAGCAAAATGCCAGCTTTTTTTTCCCCAAAGAAGATGAGTTTTATTGGTATGGTTTAGGTATTCAGAATGATCACATTCATCAATGGGGAATTCGTACCTGTACATGACGTAGCTCAGTTCTTTTTTTCTTCCTTTCTCCTGCCCTTCTTTCAACTCCTCTTCCCCTCCTTATTTACAATAGCTTTGTTTCTGTTTTTTCCTTCTTTTCTCATTTTTAAAATTTTTCCCTTCCTTCCTTTCCCCCTCCCAGTACTCGGGAGGCTGGGGTAGGAGTATTGCTGTGAGTCTGAGGCCACCCTGGGCTACACAAAGGAGTTCAAGGCAAACCTGGATTGCAATGAGACCCTGTCTCTAAAAAATTAAAAATGCCAACTTTGGCAATATACTTGGTATTTTTTCCCTTAGGGCTTGCCTAAAGATAAAGTTTGACTGTAAAGTATGCTCCTTCTATTTTATTTATACTGTTTCCGTTTTCCTCAAGGTCGCTCCTATGATGTCCTCAGGAAGCCCACGCATCCCTCAGTGTTCCCCGCCGCAGGCCAGCTCTCCGGTATCCTGAATGGAGGTGAAGAGATCTACGCCAACTGCATGGTGGTAGATCAGGTGAGGCCCCGCGGCACTCTGCCTCCTTCGAAAACCTGGGTGTGTGAGCAGTGTGTCCACTGCCACCCTAGCGCCACTCAGGGGCTGCTGTGGAGTCCCATCACCAGCTTGGAACTTCAGTCCTTATGTCAGAACACACTGTCTCCACCAAGAAAGGGCATGAGGGCAGGGTCCTTGAGCTCTTGAGTGGTACCAAAATAGGAAGAGACAATGCAGGTCCAGTATCTTGTCGTGGCTTTTCTATGAACTGTGTCTGCATGACTTGATTGGGTAGTATTGGGATCCAACAAACAGCAACGAGAAGGTGTCTATTCGCAGCCCCATAGGATGTGTCACATAGGACACATCTGTTAACAGGGTCTTCGGCTATGACATGTTAGAATTACAACAGGATGGTATCATTCTGGGGAAGCTGGAACCTTTTAGAATTTTCTGTCCATTCCCTGGTAGAGACCTAGGAGTTCAAATCTCATAGAGGCAGAGAGAGAGAGAGAGAGAGAGAGAGAGAGAGAGAGAGAGAGAGAGAGAGACAGAGAGACAGAGAGAGTTAGGGTTTGAAGGTGCCAGCATCTACTTAGCTTGTGTTCTTTTCTCTTAGTGTTCTCTCTGCTAACTTAAAAACCCTAATCCCCATATAAGATACATGATAAATACTAACGGGGCAATAAGTACTTTATCTTTTTGTTATTAACATACTTGTATATATTTTTTCAGTGTTCCCAACTTTGTTTTTTTTTTTTTTTTGTCTTTTTCATTTTTATTGGTACCAGGGATCAAACGCATGACTGCCTGCTTGCAAGGCAGGCGCTTATGCTGCTGAGCTAAATCCCCAGCCCCCCCCCCAACTTTGTTTTTTATGTAATGCTAAAATTTAAAAGAAAAAATGGTACTGCAAATCAGTCAAATGACAAAGTGCAGGTAATATTTCCATAGCATTATTTTTTAAAAATATATATAATGTTTTTAACATCTGAGATCACACTTCAGTTCATATGAGTTTCATCATATATAAAAAAAATATCACCTTCAACCTGAAAGCATGTAAGGGTTAAAAGATGTCACACTTTAAAAATATTTGGTAGTATTTTTACCCAGGTAGGGGCTGAGGATTTAGCTCAGTGGCCTAAGCATCTGCCTGGCAAATATGAGGTCATGAGTTTGACCCCCAGTACAAAAAAAAAAAAAAAAAAAAAGAAAAAAGAAAAAATGTGGTGGTCAAGGAAAGGAAGGTAGTAACAGTTGTAAGGCAGTTTTACATTTTCGTAACTTAAATGTGAGATCACATGAAAGACAGTACATCTATTAAATCAGATAAATAGTTAAGGCTAAAGACTAAAAGCTTCAGAAATTTTTTCCTAGTTTTTAGTAAATCTCAATTTCAGCCTTTAGCCAAATAGCTCAATTTTTCCCTTCAGTGTTACAAAGTGTTATAAGAACAAATGCATAGTATAAATGGCAGAGATTGGATGGAATTCAAAATGACAGAAACTAATAAATCAGAAAAGATGTCAGCTATAAATAACTGGCAGAGCCATCTTGGTGTAAAAACCAGTTGAATGTCAGCCTTGGTTGTAAAAATCTAGATTGGAGCATGAGACAGAGTGGCAGTTTGGGGGGCAGTCTTTCAAGGGACAGATTGGACTTTGTGTGCCATGGCTACATTCTTAAATGTGTGTGTGTGGTATGTATACTTACAGTAATAACTTGGTACTCGACTGTTTAGGGACTCTTTGAATTTGTACTCCACACATTTTGATGGGAAAATTATGTCTCACTGCTTGTCACTTGTTTGATATTTGATACACAAGGTAGAACTCAGGATATTGATTGACTTGAAACTCCCTACTATTTATACCTAAAGCAATTTGTTAGGTACTTACTCATCTCTTTTGGTACTTGTACTTCTTGGAACTAATCAACATTAAATATTGACATATCACATCTGTGCTTTAATGTATCATAATTACCATAAATTAATATATTAATATTACATATAATATATAATATTAATATATTAATTAATATAGTAATTTATGTTAATATGTTATTACTAATTTGGCAGCTTTTCAAAGTATAGTTAACAATAATATATTTATTTATTTGTTTGTTTCTTGTGGTACTAGGGATCAAACTCGCAACCTCACGCTTGGTAGACAGGTGCTTACTCTACTGAGCTAAATCCCCAGCTCCAACAGTAGCGTACGAATTTAAAGTTTACAGTATGATCTGTTAAACATGACCACAATAAAGCTCATTATTGTCTCTTGCTGGGATGAGAATACTCAAGATTTACTCTCAGCAAATTTCAAACAATCAATGCTTTATTGTTAATTAAGTCACCATGCTGCACCTTTAACCTCCAGAACTGACTCACTGTAGGACTGAAAGCTTATACCCTTTACCTGACAGCTGCCCGTTTCTCTCATTCACTGCTCCTTGGTAACCACCCTTCTACTCACTTTTTCTATGAATATTAATTTTTAAGATTCCGTATGTAAGTGAAATCCTGCAATATTTGTCTCTCTGTGTTTGGCTTATTTTAATTAGCAAAATATCCTTCAACTTTATTTATATTGTCACAAATGGCAGAATTTCCTTCTTTTTTTCTTAAAGCCAATAATCCCCCACCATGTAATGACACACACGTGCCATAGATACAATTATTTTAATAGTTCAGCAGTTGATGGGCACAGTTTGGTTCTGTATTGTACCTAGTGTGGCCAGGAAGAGGGGAGCGTAGATTTCTCTTGGAGAGAATGACTATTTCCTTCACGCGTCTATCCAGCAGTGGGGCTGCTGGACCATCTGATAGCTGTATTTTAAAGTCTTTGAGGAACCCCTAAACTGTGGTACATAGCAGCCTACCAGTTTCCATTCCCACCCACCATGGATCAAGCCTCCCTCTTCTCCATAATCCTCACCAACACTGATTTTTTGACTTTTTGATAATAGCTATCCTAACAGGTGCAAGCTGATGTTTCATTGTGGTTTTATTTGCATTTTCCTGCTGATTAGTGATGGCCGGCACCTTTTCATATATTTGGTGGCTGTTCGCTTATCTATTTTAAAATCAAGTTATTTGTTTTCATCTTACTACTGAGTTATATAAGTTCTTTGTGGACTTTGGCTATCAACTCCTTATCAGATAAATGGTTTGTACGTCTTTCCCCCCATCCCAGAGGAATCCTTTTCATTTTGGTGAGCATTTTCTTTGCTGCACAGAAACTCTTTTGTTTGATGTAGCCCTGCTTACTTATTTTGCTTTTATTAACTTATGTTTCTGCATTGTTTTATATCACTGCCAAGACTAATATCATAGGTCTTTTCTCCTGTGCTTTTCTTTAGGAATTTTACGGTTTTAGGTTTTAAGTCTTTCATAGATCTTGAATTCATTTTTGTGTGGTTTTAAGAAGGGATCTCCCCTGAAGAAGGGGATCCAAATCCTTTCTCTTGTCCTCTCCTCCCCCTTTCCTCCTCCCTGCATGCCTCCCTTCTTTTTTCATTTTCCTTCTTTTCTGTCTTCCTGTGAATGTCTAATTTTTCCAGAATCATTTTATTGAAGATTGTTCTTTCCCCAGGATGCTATTTTGGCAGCTTTGTTGAAAGTTAGTTGACTGTGTACATGTGGGTTTATTTATGCTCCTTCTATGCTGTTCCATTTTCTATTTCATATCCATACTGTTTTGATTATAATAGCCTTGTAATATAATTTAAAATCAGGAAGAGTGATACTTTTAACTTTGTTCTTCTTGCTTAAGATAACATCAGCTTTTGTGAGTCTTTTTAGTTCCATGCATATTTTAGGCTTTTTTTTTTTTTCTATCTGTGTGGAAAATGCCCTTGAAACTTTGACAGGAATTGCATGTGTAGATCTGATTGGATATTATGGACATTTTGACAATGTTAATTCATTAACACAAGTGTATCTTTCCATTTATCTGTGTCATTTTAAAATTCTTTTACCACTGTTTTATAGTTTTTAACATGCAGATCTTTGCTATGTTCTGATATTAATGGAGTTTCTTTTCATATTCTCTCAGAATAGTCCAAATGAAAGACGTCTTGAGTCCTTCTTTCCATTTAGTTTGATCCTCAGTGAATACTATAATTTATCCAATTACCTAAAACTGTCAAAGACAATTTTCATAACAATATATGGGAGGAAAAGATCTTTATGTGTTCCGAGATGTGTTAAAAATGAAATGCTTTCCAAATCATAGATGAAGGTAGGATATAATTCCTTTTGGGGAATATTCAGAGTGAGAAAAATACTGCTTTATAATGTGAAGGAAACAAAAATTGAAACAAACACTTTAAGATCTATACTGTTTTGCTTATAGCTTTGTAATATACTTGGCAAAGTGGAAATGAGAGGAGTCCAATTCTGTTTAATGAAAATAAGTTTTACAGAAATTTAAAAGAATTTTATCTGACTAGCTTTGTCTGCCTCAAGCTGACACAGAAACCTAAAATCATTTTAGCTTATGTCGCTGTCTGTCTTATTAAGCTTCCCAATGAGGATATTTCTGTGGTAAAAACTAATTTGAAAAATCCTCTATCATATAAACTACTGTCAAACTTCTTATTTGGATAAAATTTCAGACCTAGTTTTAGTACAAAGAATCCCTGCATGCATTTTATTGAAGTTTTTCCAAAGAATATTTTACCACATTTTATTTTATTATTCTCTGCATCTATCTGTGTATGTATGTGTATACACAAATGGCTAAAATATGTGTATAATTTTTTAAACATCTGATAAAAAGTTGAAAACATGGTAATCCTTTATTCCTTAATTATTTCTGTTGCATTTTCCTAAAAACATGGTCATTGTCTAATATAAGCACAGTGTAGCTAAGGAAACCAGAAGTGTCATTGATAAAATTCTGTTCTCTTTCTCCAGATCTGATTCAGTTTTAGCCATTTGTCCCAGGAATGTTGTTTGTAGTATAAGAAAATTCCGCAATACATATTACATTTAGGTGTCCTTTCTCTTTAGTCTCATTTAAGGTGGAATAGCTCCATAGTGTTTTTTATTATATTGATATTTTTGAAGAACAGAGACTGTTTTTGTTTGTGTTTGTGTTTGTGTTTTGCTAGAATGTCCTTCAATTTTGATCTGTCTAAAATACCTCCTCATAACTGGATCCCACATTTGGGAGGAACACAGCAGAAATCCTGTCGTGTTCTTCTCAAGACATCGATCTGTTCCTTTACTGATGATTTTATTTTGATCTGCCAAGTGTCTCTTTAGTAATGTTTCGGCTTTCTTCAAATTATGTTAAAAAATGTACTGAGCTATAGTTTGAGTCTCTGCAAACATCCTCTTACTCATTAGACTGTTATCTGCTAGTTTAGTGCTCATTGACAGTTTAATAGTAAATAAATTTTACCTTCCTAAATGTTTATGGCATTATAAAAATTCACCCCCCTTTTTTCCCTGTTTTACACCATATCTCTGGCACCTCTCCCTTTTTCTCTACCTACCCCCTCCCCTCCCCTCCCCTCCCCCTTGCTCTCTCGTCTACCCCCCCCACCCCCCATAGCTGGGGATTGAATCCAGGGTCAACTGCACTGAGCTACACCTGCAGCCCCTGCCTTGACGTCAGGCAGTTTCTTGTTTCTGTCTACTCCCCAGGAATGATGTTTTTGATGACCACCACCTCCAATCACAAGCACTTTTCAGCCTCTTTTTATGAGCGGGTACTTTGATAAATCAGGACTCTTTCCTGTGTGCAGTCTGATGCGTTTTAGTAGTCTGAGACTTTTCGTTAGCTCTCTCTTCTCCAATCACTTTTGTCAGACTGCTTTTACTCTGTAGGGGGATATGAGGGGCTGCTTGCTGGATCTGATGCTTATTTGACTATGTACAGGTAATTTGAAGATTGGAACATTTCCTGTCTTCTAATGCTGCAATTCGTATGTACACTGCACAGTTTTATTTTTTGTTTTATTTGTTGGTGATGTTGAGGAGACTTAGGTTTATGTGACCACTATTACCTTAGTTACCCCAATTCTAATGAACTACTTTTTGCAGAAGAGCTGTGAACTTTTTTTGTTTTTTTTTCAACTATTTAAAGTATTTCCCCGTCGTTTTCATTAAGTAGTTCTTAAAATGTTAAAAGCGTTAAGTATCTTGTTTTGTGATATAAAAGAATCTTATGAAACAGTCTTCTTCCTTTTTGTGAATTATAGGATAGCAATCACAGGGACAAAAATAGATGGTGAAAGAATTCTGTTATGGGAAACAAAATAAAAACGAGAACAAACAAGACAAAAAATATAAATGAGGTGGACGGATTGTAAATCAGCAGTTTTAATGAATTCTTAGCCAAGGCACTCTTGCCTGCTTTTGTTTAGCAAACATCTTTTCACTTCCAGGTTAGCGATTTGGATATCAACTATATTAACATTGAAGGACTCTCCGCCCACGCCGAGCCCAACTCCATGGGTTCGAATCTGGGCTCCCACAGCTGTGAGCACCTGGAGCACCTGGTCCCCGCGCACACCCGCGCCATCATGTGCTCCCTCGCGGAGAACGGCAACCTGGCCCTGCACGCTGAAGCCACGCGGTGCGTGCCCTCCCCGACTGGTGCAGGCCCTTGCAACTTGAATCTTTCTTTTGGTCTTGATGAGTTTGTAATGGAACAAAGTCCTCTGAAGAAGAGAAGGTGAGATATCATTTTGTACTGGAAAATTGTAGAAAAATTAAAGAACTTTGTCGCTAGCTTCAGAAAATTATATTCTTAATTGTTTTTTCCCATACTGTCATCTCTACATCAAAATCTTTTTCCCTTTTATTTCATGAAAATGGTGATTTTAAACTAATGCATTTAAGAAAACTGACTGAAATATAACAGAGGCAAGCCACAATAAGATACCATTTTATACTTTACCATATTACATTGACAGAGATTAAAGTCTCACACCTTGCTGTGATGAGCATACTTGCAAGGAAAACTCTGAAAGGAGTGAAAATTGTGTGACAGTTTAAGGAGACAGCTTTGACATCCTCCTGTATAGTCAAATAGGCATTTCCCGTCTATGTGCTAGTGACATATAGTAACTATTTATAGCAACAGGAAATAACTCAGATGGGAGATAGGTAATTCTGAACAGGTTTAAATTCTGTATATGGAATAAAGTACTGTAGTTAAACTACATTAATGACATTGACATGTATAATAACATGCATTTCAGAAACATGAACAGAAAGTGAGCCATGAAATATTTCTGTTAAGAGTTCATTCTCATGCTTATATCAGGGCACATACACATTTCTTGATTAACAAGAAAAAGAAAATAGCGAGAGGAGAAAAGAAGAGGGCTGATAATGGATTGGATTGTGAGACTTTCAACAGGGTGGTAAACGTTCAAGTTATAGGCTGGTGTATTCTTGAGGGTTTGCTTCTTTACCCTCTGTAACTTCCGGTTACATGTATTTTCTCATACATATAAAATGCACTTAAACTTCACTGTATATGTTTGTACCTGTATGTCGGTACCTGTGTATGTCCCTCCATCTTATTGTCCATTTTCTTTAGAGAATAACCCAACTTCCACTTTCCTTAGATATTTGTTTCTCTCATATGTCCTAAACCCATGATTACTTGTTCATTTTCACACCTAAGATCGTGAATCAAAATGGAGAGTACACACATGTGAGTGTACACTCAATATTTACCTATGGATGGGCATCCATATAAGTAAATAAATAGTGAACAGTGATTTAACTGATCAGGAGGGAGGGAAAGGGATGAGACCTAGTGATCAGTGGGGTCCACTTACTGGACTGTATTTTTCATGGATGCACAACTCGAGACTAACACTGTAGGTGACAAAAGTTATGTCTAGTGTATATAATTATTAGAAAAAAACTTTTGTAGATGCTGGAGAGTGGTCATGACTTTACACTGAATGGTTAGATTATGTTGGGCTATCTTCTCAGGATAAGAGGCTGCCAGTCCAGACTACCATGCATGATTGATGCATTCTGGCAGAATCTTTAAGATCTGGTGAGCATGTTACCCCATAACTTGAGCAATAAAAATGTCTTTAGAAGAGATATTCTATGTATATAAGGAAGAAAAGGCACAAATTATCATTTTGTTTCTTTGCTTCAGATAGTTTTTCCTTTCTGTAATAGAAGTGATCTACCCTGAGTGAAAATAATTAGTAGCCTCTATAAAGATGACCCATGTCAGGGGCAGGAAGAAATCATTCTACTGAAAAATCCTCCAGCTTTCACATGTGCTATCTCCTGTGTACTTCCCCTCATTTGAAAAAATGTAGGAATGAGGAGAGAGAACTGGTGGCCCTGAAAACTGTTTGGCCCTGGCATGGCCATTGGCCCCTCCCTTTAGTGGCTGTCATGAGGGGATGTGCACCACAGACAATAGCGAGTAGGATGCAAGATGCACGTAGTTCATTAATATGTGCCTACTCGCCTGAACTTTTAATAAAAGAGAAATTCTAAACAAGAGAAATGCACATATAATACTAACCACAGTTGATACAGGGAGAAGGTTGACTGGGAATGAAGTCCTAAATTTTCTGAGGTTTAAGACATTATTTTAGTGAAATATTCATGATATGTAACCGCTGTGTTATTTAAATTGAATAGCCCTTTTGAAACACTACAAGGAAAAAATAAGCAGTAAAATATCTATTTAAAAATCTATCAAAAATTAAGCAAAAGAAAACAAGTATTTGTTTTATTCCAAACAAGATTTTTCAAACATTTTTGTTAAATGATGTCATAATATTATCACCTCACACAAAATTTAAGTGAAGTCTTGTAAAATAACAAGTGAAATGTATTCTTAATCTTCCATTCTATTTCATTTTAAAAATTAAATTCTAGTCAATCTAATGAATTGATTTCATACCTCACTAGTGGAATTTAGAAAATCATGATTGTAAAATGAATCTGTAAGTAATTTTGAACAATATTATCTATGCTACCAATATCTTAGGTTAGTAGCCTACCAACAAAGCAATAACAAAAAAACCAGCAGGCCAGTTTGTGTTAATAGAAACGGAAATACTTTTTACTATGGAAAATAAAATAATTCTGGAACATTTTGGGTATATTCACGGTGTTGGAGAAATGTCTATAATTGGGAAAACTTGTGTTAGAACAGGGTACTATTGCAAGCTTCGAGTCATTGAAGGCAAAGGTCTCCAACCTTTTTGGGAGCCAGGGACCAGTTTTGTGGAAGACAAATTTTCCATGGATGGAGGTGAGGAGCTGTAGGAGCTCACAACCTCCATCTCTCAGTGTGGATGGGTAGTTCACATAGGATTCGAGCGCCTATGAGAATCAGCTGCAGGTGAAGCCTGTTGAGATGGAGCTCAAGTATAACACAGTGCAGAGTGGCTGGGAAGCAGGTGGACCTTCCCCATTCGCCCGCCCACTGCTCGCCTCCTGGTGCTTCCCAACTGGGTACAACCTTGGGGATCTCGATTTAAAGGATCGGTTTTCATTAGCATAGAAGCCACACACAAAAAAAGACAGAGGCCCACGCCTGAGTTGTCAGTGGACTTTGACTATTGTTTGGGTCTCTTTCCACTCAGATTTTTCAGATGTTAGGGAACAATATCAGACCTTGAAATATCTCCAGTTTCCTGTGACTTCAAACCACTGAATTTGCCAGGAAGATTTTCTTCATTTACAGTTTATATTTAAAATCATAAATGATGCAATGAGCTGCAAGATGTTTGGATGCTAAATTAAAGTTAAAGATCACCTCCAATTTGTCCTCTTCTGCTCTACGGGCCATTGAGGGAAAAGTCCATTTTGGAAATCTTCAGTGGTGCCAGGTGGCACCTGTGCTTACCGTCCAGTTTCCTGGTGCTCCTAGTGCTCAAAAGATAGTTCAAGGATTAGAAACTGATATGGGATTTACATTAGAAACAGACAGAGTAATACTCATCTTTTTTTTTTTCATTTTTTTTGTCTTTTTCGTTTTTATTGGTACCAGGGATCGAACTCACGACTGCCTGCTTGCAAGGCAGACGCTTATGCCGCTGAGCTAAATCCCCAGCCCCTGTAATACTCATCTTTTAAGAGTCACATAATTTGTGAAACTGATATTCTATGACCCGTGGTTGATAAAGAAAAATAGTTCCAATTAATTCAAAGTTTCATCTGGTTGTTTATTGTTAAAAATCAAGATGATTTCATTGTGTAATTATTAAAATATTTTTTATTGTTTGTTTTTATCTTTTGAGATAGAGTCTTGCTATGAAGTTCAGACTGACCTTAAACTCACTGTGTAAGCCAGGCTGACCTTGAACTAGTGGTGATCCTCTTGTTTCAGCCTCTTGAGTGCTAAGACTACAAGTGTGCACCACAATTATTAAAATCTTACCCCCAGAACCAAAACAACCAAAGAAAAAAATTTTTTCTTAAAATGTTCTTGTATAAATACAGTTGGTCTTGACATTTGAATGGTTTAAAATATAAATATTTTGCAATGAACCTAGAATGTGACTGTCAAATTCTTTGCTTTTAATTTCATGGTTATGGAAAGTAATGAAAAAAATTTTTAGTTAATCAGAATCATTACCTGGTTCTGGGATGGAATCAATTTTTAAAAAATGCTAAAAAATTATCATTGCTGAGAGTATTTTTTGGGCCCTCATGTGTTACTTATTTCTTTTTTGAATATTCTTTATTTTGTGAAACAACAGAACAGAAGGTCGTAGCAAAAAAGAGAATAACAATGATTTGTACAGTGTGTATCATTATCTTCCAAGTAGTCACTCAGAATATAAGACATCCATATAATGATTCTTACAAAGAAACATGTTAGCACAGAACTTCCTTTTCAGTGAACTAAGAGAAGCTAGTAGTAGAAATGAGACAATTAGCATGTAGAGTAAAATATTTTTGTAACAATGGACTAGGGAACCGCTGCGCTTCCCACTTCCTGTTTATCTGCCTTCCGTTTTGCTCCCCCTAGTCTATATGTATTTCTCCCTTTATCACATAAGTAAACCATGTGATATTTAAGCCTGTGTTTTTGACTTCTTTCTGATCCATGCTTTGACTCATCCGCGAGGTGAGAGCTTCACACCACCCTCCTTCCTTTGGCTCTGGCCTCCTGAGCACCCCTGTTGAGACCTGCTGAGAGGAGGCCACCTCTCATGTTAGCACATGCCATCCCCAGTGGCTGTGTCTGTTAGCCCAGGGCGTCTGTGTTTGTGTTATCCGCAGTGTCAATATTTGAAGGGTTACTATGTGGGACTTGGAATAACTGCATTTACAAAACAAAAATAATAGATTAGTCCTAACTCCAACCAGCTTTTATTTTGTAAGACAGTTGGGATGGTTTTTGCTGGATAGAAATGTTCATTTGTATAGAAAGCCCTTTGGACCATATCTCGGTCCAGAAAAGTCCACATTTGTAATCTCATGAAAAAGATATTGGAATTCTAATGAATTAATTCCAACCTACCACTTCCGGTGCAACTCATGGTGAGAATAAAGGCATTAAAATATATTTGTAGTTGTGGGGAGCCAAGGGGGTCCTAAGTCTAGTTAGAATAATGGCCAACTGGAACAAAGACCTGGAACCAAACCCAGGGATTTTATTAATTCATGAAGAGGGGAGTAGCTGGGGATGACTCTACAAATGGTGGGAAGTATGTGAGCGCTGTGAGCTGGGCAAGGCAGGAGGTCCGAAATCACCTCTGCAGTACGCAGAGAAGGGGAGGCAGCAAGAGTAATCACTTCTTTAGTAGCCAGTATTTTGGGGTCAGTGCTTCTGTTTTGATGTGTGAACCATGCCCTGAGAAGTCATGGCCTCTTTTCTTTGAGGCTCATGCTCAGCTGACAGCTTGGCTTCACTCAGCCTGGATCATGTGTTGGGAGCTGTGGACAGAGCATCACTGACCTGTTACACTGTTTCAGAGTCTGCCCATCGGCTCATGGACTAGAGTCATTTGCGCTGCTTACAGACAATTGAGGGGGTAAAGAAATATCCTAGCCAGATGTGTACATGGAGCTAGGGCCAGATTTAGCCAAAATGGAGACAATTGCTCTTTTAAGGAGAGTCATCCAGGTGGTCCTCCACACATTTGGAGAAACATAAAATTTTGTTTAAAAAGAGCAAGGGAAAATTAATAAAAACTGTTAGTAGGAAATTAAATGGATACTCATTGTATCTCACAGGAAGGAAAAAAGAAAGTATGTGAACTTAAGTTCATCTGTCTGCCTGTTTATTGGGCCACTTCCTTTCTCTGTGCTTTTAGCTCCAGCCTGGATGCCCTGGTTGCCACCAGCGAAGAAGAAGGACGCCCTGAGCAGCCGCACACTTGCTCTAGTCCTGTCCCTCAGAGCCCCTCAAGAACTGGGGTTCCCAGTGAGGATGAGTTGGACTCTTTCGAGAGCAACATTGAACCCTATTTCAATATCTCCAGGACTGAATCACTTTCTCTGTCAAGTAATCTGCAGCTGAAGGTATTTTGGTTGCTGTTAAATTCGGCTTACTGTAAATAAGCAGGATGTTATCTGAATCTCTCCACCTCTAGTTGACAGACAAATTCTTTTTTATTCACACAGAAGAACTGTTTTTGTAAAGGGGTGACTGGTGATGTCCACTTGTGTCCTTTTTTCTCTCCATAGTTCTATTAATTTTTGCAGACTTTACAATGGCAAATGTATGCTTCCAGTAATTTATAAGAAGTACATGCCATTTTTCACATAACTTGGAAAATTTTAATATTTCGTACAATGACTTCTACCATTATCCCATAAGCAAAGGGAGAGAAATGAGTGATATTAAATGAGTTTAAATGATGATGCTTGTTTTTCTCACATACATTTTTACATGAAGTAGGAGGTGAGGTAAATGGTGGCTTTGTGAACTAACCTGAAACACGCTCACCTTTGTCAGGTTTGCCAGGGGGTCCAGGTTCCTTTTGGTGACAATTTCACAGGAGAGTTTCATTTTATCATTTATGTTATCGTTAAAAAACAAAAACGAAAAATGAAAACCCCAAAGTCTCTTCTTTCAGCCTTTCAAAGAAAGATCTTTTGTGTTTAAATGTATGTTTTTTTCCTGTTTGATTTTTATTCTTCTGCACTTGTCTTCTTCATAAAACAGTGTGCAGTATTAAAATGACCTTCCCAAGAACATTTTGGTTGTTAGGGTAATACTTTATTTTTGTAGCATGCCCTTCAATCTACAAAATGTGTTTTAAGTATGTGAAAACTATATAATTTTCTCACAACTCACCTAGGACTTCCTTTTTGGAGCGTATGAGCTTGTGAAGGGGGTTAGTCCAGGTAGCCTCAGCTTGGTGATAGAATTGTTAGCCAAATCAAGATCTTCAGAGCATAAACACACCACCCTGTCCCCTCACCTCTGAGATCTGTAGAGTTCTCATTATCTTTGAACTTTGAACTTGATGTCGTGTGCTAATTCTGGATAATTAGACATCAGGATGGTTACTAATGGAGATAACTAATTAGTTTTGCATTTTGAATGGAATCTTGAAAATCTCATCATTACGCAGAATGAAAAAATAACTCAATCTTTATGAAACACTTTTGTATCGTTCCTTATTAAAAGCCTCTGTAATTACTCAGTATAATTTTTTACCCAGGGATCTTGGGCAATTTTCAAAGCTCAACTGTCAGGGGAAATGATTACTGTACCTGTCTTCAATGAAGAGGTGGCATTTTGCTAAGGCCTTAAATGGCCAGTTCATTATTAGGGTTGCAGGACAGCTTCTCATCTTGTTCTCCTTTTTTTTGGTTTTTTTTGAGTACCAAGAATCAAACTCAAGACCTCATGCTCATTGGACATTCTCTGTGCAACTAAGCTAAATTCCCAGTTCCTTGTACCCCTTCTTAATATATGGGGGCTGCCTCCTGATAGCACAGTCAGGGAGCCACAGCCCAAGACCTTGGGTGCAAGAACAACCTGTTTTCAACTTCCCTTCAGGCTCCTGAACCAATACACTCAGTATAACCATATGTTTTCACTTAGGAGAGAATGAGGAGACGAGTACTTGGGAAGGACAGTTTCTCATGGCTTAATTTCAGTCAAGAATCTTGCATTACTTTCTTTTAGTCCTAACCTTAAAAAAAAAATGCCTGGGCAGAATTCAGTGTTAAGGCCTCTATGGGATAGGAGTCGGATAATAATCAGCTTTAATGAAGTTCTGTTGCATTTTCTGGAACGCAGAAGAAAACCATGTTTAATTATCTTGCCATTTTTCCTTTTTGTGCATGTTGCCAATGTAATAATAGAAATAATATGTAATTGGGAAAATAGGAAAAAGATCGCAGGTCATTAAAAAGGAATAATATTAAAGATATTCAGGAAGTGCTGGATGGAAGATATATTGAAAAATGAGCACAGATTAGAAGGATTTGTATATTGACCTAGTATATTTTTCCCTAGGGGCTGAAGCTTATACTGGAAATTTAAATAGGTATTTGAAACCTTGGTTATTTCTCTAACTTCTAATAATCCTTACCTATAGAGACCTCAGCATTGAATTTTGTTTAAATGCTATAGTATAAGATATAAAATAACTGAAAACTTAGGTAAGAATAGTAAATCAAACTAGTGTTCAGGTTGACTCTTTTTCTCAAAGGTACCGAAAGTAAATACATACTTTCAAGTATCATGCGGATCTTTTTAAAAACTTCATTGTGTTCTCTTTTAGGAATCATTGCTTTCTGGAATTCGCTCACGTTCTTATTCGTGCTCATCACCTAAAATGTCTTTGAGAAAAACACGGCTAGTGCGAGATTTTACAGTGTGCAATTCAAGTGAAGGTATGTCTTCTTTACCATTTGACTTTGAAATCATTCTATTCCAGAATAGATTTTTCAGTTGGTCTGAGTGCATAAAATACTGAAGTGCAGCAGACAAGTTTCAATTCCATCTCCATGGCTGATTTTTCTAGGCTTTGTGAAGTGCTTTTCTTATTGGATAACAGTCAAGTTATAGATTTAATTTTGATGAAGTTACACACACGCACACACCTCTCTGTTGCTTTTTTCTTTGACTAAAATGCTTTCCTCATGTACAGTGTAAACTGAAATTTGGATTTTATTTAAATAAATTGTTAAAATTACTTTTGTCCTGTCTGTAAAGTGCCAAGATAATTCAACTCCTCAGAGCCAAAACATTGCTGAATGGATTTTTTCCTTCTTTGTTAATTGAGACTTTGGGGAAGTTGAAATAACATGGTTGAAATATGAATGCATATATATCAGCCTCTATTTATTCTATTTTGATTGACAGTGCAAGAAATCAGAAGTATAACATTTATATAAGAAAATTTTAGATGAGATATAGTAGAATTACAAAAAGAATGCCGGTTGTAAGTCTGTAGCTTGATGCATTTTCAGAAGTGAACTCAGGTCTCTATATATAGAATAATTATGGGAAGCTTAGGATTTCCCTTACAGCTGTTCTCACTGCCCTCATTTTAAACTTTATTTTAAATTTTAATTTTTCATACTTTCTGGAAATGATGCAGTATGTGGTAATTATATTTAAAGGTATATTTGGAAATATTCTTGCCAATGCAAAATGTATTTTAACAAAATTGATTTCAATATATGAAATAATGCCTTGCTTATCCTTAAGAGTCATAAACGCCTCAGAAAGTAAGAGTTGTGCCTAAATACTTGTTTCCCAATATACAATACTTATTATAGGATTTATTCATTCTTTCCTTCCTCTGTTCCTTTTTTCTTCTTACATTTTTAGTATTATTTTGCCTTGTTATGGTGTAAGGAATAATACTGAAAGTGTAATCTTTGTGCTTTGAAATGCAGTTCTAAAATAATAACATACATGCTAGCTCTTCAATAAATATTTGTTGAGTGAGTATGACAGACGAGATAGATAAAATGAAAAACAAGCGATACTTTGTATATACTCCCTTTTCTGGAATGATTATTAGAAAAGAAGAAAGTAAGACTGACAATAAATGTCAGTTTTATTTCCAGAATAGACAGATTCTGTGAGAGTAACAATGGTCTTAACTACTGTGCCAATGAGGTGCCCTGAATGGGCAGATTCTAAAAGGAAAGTTAGCAGAAAAAGGAAAAGAGGCTTGAACTACCTTGAAAGGACAAAGATGGCAGGTTAACACGCTCCCCCTCCCCCCCATTACATGGGTCTTTCCAAGGTCAGGCCTCCACAGCCTTCTTCTGGGTTCCTTTCAAAGGCACCTTGACAGCCTTTTCCTGGGGTTCCTAGCTTGGCGCTCTTACTCTTTGAAAAGGCTTGAAGTCTTTCACATAGTGTGCAACATGGCGGCTTCGCTTTTATGTAGTTTCTGTGATTTGTAATCTCCAATTCTGAAGCTTGAAATTACAGCCTACATGACTGAAAGGAACCTGATTGCTAACGGAAAAATACTCTCAACTTGTTAAATTTAGTCAGCAAGGAATGGTGTCTTTGTTTTACATGCAATGCTTTAATCTTTGTATTTGAATTAGAAAGAATGAAAAATCAGTACTTTCCCCACCCTGCAAATAAAAGCCTGTGTTTAGGCAGTATATTTAAGACAAAGCCATTCAAAAGAAGTCTGATGCTAACCTCAGGGCAAGGATAACAACCAGGTGATTTAGGTTGAAGCCACACACAGCACACATGAGGATTCTCATGAAAAGACCTGACTTTGGCACTGATACACTTTACGTCAATCAGAACCACAGGCCTCCCTCCATTCTGAATGAAGGAGTTCTCACCTTGTCTATGTAATCCAAGCACAGGTGTGAAAGCTGACCTTGTTCGGGGATATGCTCTAGTGTGTCATTGTTTAGTTTAGATTAGTCGAAAGTAAATTGACATTTATGTTGCTATAAACCTTTTTGATAAATTTAGATTAGTTCTAAATTTTATCTCTATTTGAAGACAGTTTTTTCTTCCCAGAGGAAAGGTATTCCCATAGATGAGGTATATCACTGATATACAAAGATAGGATGGATTTTTACAGCTTTTTATTCTCATTTGGCATATTCTCTCTTGTCACTTTCAGATTGTTACTATTTCTTCTCATGCCTTTGTTTTTGATACCCAGAGTCCAGTAGTAACAACTTCATTATTTAATGTTTGTATAAATAAAATGAAGTCTAGTTTGTAATTCCCTTTGATACACTGTGTGCTCAGATAGGAGCATTGTCAGTGTTAGAAAATAATTACAACCTCACCAACACAGACTAAAAGTGTTCTATATTTAAGAATTTGAGACGTGAACTCAATCTACTTTTTTTTTATTTAGAGAAAGAAAGCAAAGCAGAAAAATGGTAGAAATAATACATAATTTTTAAAAACAACCATAAGAAAAGACCGCTCAAAAAAAAAATAACAGTAAAAAACCACTAGTTGATAAATTACATATTGTTATCTTAGAAGTAGTTGTTTACTTTTGAAAGTTACTGTGAAATAATGGATGGATTCCTATCAGATTGTATCCAGTTGCCTACATCTGTTTTATTACCTTATAGCTGGGATATCTCAAGTTCGTATAACTTCATTCTATTTATAGCAAGCATCATGATTCTGCCTGTGACTTAATTTGAGGAATATTTTATAAAACTTTTAACTTCCTCAAGGTAGGTCTATTGCATACAAGATCATACCAGGTGCACCATTGATAGTTAGACATTTCAGGGTCTGTTTTCTCGTACGTATCTGACCCTTTCCCTTTAAGTCTTTCTTTTGCCTCTTCACTGTTGTGAATTGTGATGGTAAAGGTGTGTCCTGCTTTGCAGGTGGTGTACTCCACAGAGGTCACTCCTTCCTTCAGTTTCTCTCACTAACCCAGCATCTGTTTCACTCTTGTGATAAGTATATACTCCAACTCCAGAAACAAGGTGGCACCATGCGTGCATGGGCTTGCCTTCTCCCCGCATGCCCAACGAGAAGGGTGGTTCTTCTTTTCCATGAACCGCAAACAAAAGCCCACCTATGAACTGGCTGTTGCTGGGATTTTCTTAAGATGTTTCTGCTGCACTAAGGTCAACTCTTATACTGGCCATCAAGAATTTTCCTTTGAGCTTTGCTAAAGTAGCAGCCAACACCTTTACTGATTCTCTGTGTTGGAGAATTATTATTATGAATAACAGGGAGACACCGGTATGTACAATCCAAATGTATAGAACTGATGTTCAACACTTTTGAAAATGTCTGTTTCCTCTTGCTGAGGCTAACCTAGCTTGTGAAGTAATAAATTTGGTCTCCTCCCCACCCTCTGCAGACTAAGGAAAGCAGTGAAGATATCTAGAACAATGCCCTTACTTAAATATTGTAACTTGTTTTCCCATCATTTTCTAACTGATAATGATAAAATATGGTAACCATGCATCCAAACTGACACATGACTGCAAGTTTGTCCACCTCAGTTCTCATTTTTCTGTTCTGTGTCTTGTAGGACAAAGATCTTACAGCTTATCAGAGCCGCCCAGAGAGCAAAGGTATGTTAACTGCTCCTGTTTTCTGGAGAGACCTCTTGATCCGTCTTTGGAAGTATCTACACATTGCTTTTGATTCTGTTCAGTAGTTGGGTGAGGTTTCTGGGCAATGAATCTGCCTAAGACTTGATTCTGCTGTATTTGTGTGAGAGAGAAGGGCCGGATATCTCCTTTTAGCCCTCAGGTGTGCAGGCCTCAGGACTGAGGACAGGATGTTTTGGTCTTGATTATTTTCAAAGGTAAGCACTTCCTGGAAAGGTTGCTTCAGAGAAGCAGTGGACAAGCCCAAGGTCTGCTGTGTCACGACCAGAAGACTCAGTCTAGCAACAGGCCCCAGGGGGACTGTTCTACAAAGGGCCCAAACTTCCCTGCTTTTTCCCTTTTGGATTTTTTAAGCAGTGTTATATATGATACAAAGAATAAATGGTGCAAAAACTACCTTTAGCATTGCAAACTTTCTGATTGGTGTATGAATTTTTAAAGCTTTAAGCCTAAGCTTTTTCCTAGAAAGTAAAAAATCTTGCTGGAGCCAAGCTTGGAAAGCAGGCTGGAATTTAAGCACGGTTGCTGAGTTCTATTAGTCTTGAATGACTAACTGCTCATGAGTCACACGGTGAAATAGCCCTGGGTTTCTGTGTTACATACAGAACAAGTGCCAGAAACAATATACATGTTTGGTTTTTAAGAGACCATCTGAAAAACAGTAAAATGCTTTTGGTTTTGGTCTATTAATGCTAATGTTCTGCAACTTTTGAATATATAGGCCAGGGACTATTTTGTTTTAAATCTTAGCATAAAAGCAGCAATAAGGAAAAGCCTCCTTTGTGTCATTTCTATGAATTGTAGACTAGAATATAAGCTTCCGAATGAGCAAAACAGAAAAAGGCTAAAACTGTCCTGGACACGCAGGACGATAATGAAGATGGCATCATGACCATGACAGTGATGACAGTCACTGGCACTGATGGGGTTTTTATGTGCCTGTGCTGTTTTAAGCTGCTTATATTTATTTATTCCCTAATATAAGCAATTTATTTCCTAATTCTCATCGTCTTGATTAGCGGTCTTCTGTTATCTTTTTAACCATGGAAGAAAACAAAAACATTTATTTTCCATTATGAGACAGACTTAAAACTGGGGAAGCCAAAGTCACACCTGCTTAAGCAGTAACTTGCAAAACAGTTTACCTTGGATGAGAGAGACCCTCTTTACCTTCTCCTTCACTCCTGTTTTTGTTTGTTTTCTATCCTTCATCTTAGTTGACATCCTGAAAGCCTGTTTCTCTCAACCATATTCCTTGGTAGCAGGACAGATCTTTCCTTTTACCTACTCTGGTCCTGATATCTTGTTGGATATTCCAGTCAGACCCCCGCCATACCTGTGCTTTGTTTTAGTCATGCTGAGAAACTTTCTACTTTGAAATTCTTTTATTTATATTGATGGCAATATTTGGAAAAGAATACTTTCATAGAAAAGTCCGAATGCCAGACTTTGCAGGCTTCTTGAAGTGGACACTCCATCTACCCGCATTCCTTAAAGAAAAGATAGCATGACTCAGCATCTATCTTACATCTATTATATTCATTGCCTACTTAAAAAAAATGTGAGGGTCAAAGGAAGTGCCACTGTATCAATTTTCTGTTTGTATAGTGGAGCTTCTTTTAATGCTCTTTATACCTAGGTCATGAAAAATAGAAGGTGTTATTGATTAAGGTTAAGATATTGAGGATCCACATTCTCAATATGTTTTAAATATGTTTGCCTATTAAAAAGGCAGTGCCATGAGAGTACATGAAGAATGAAGCCTGTGAATCTTTATTTTGAGTGATCTATTGATTTCCAAACTAAAAAGGAACATCTTTGTTTTGGCATATCAAACTTATTTTTTTTTCAAATTCTTATATATTTAAATTTTGTTGTGAGATTAGTTGAGGGTTTTTTCTCAGTCTTTGTCTAACGTATCCAGTTGTTATATTGGTGAATGCTACATAGTTAAATTAGGTTTGAAATATGTAAATTAACCAACCTCTGAAATTTACCTACAGATTACAGAGTCATATCCATTCCCATAATCTGATGGTAGATTATGCCTGTGGTATTCATGTTCCTACCAGGTTGAGGGTGGTCCTAAGTTTTGAATACTCAGTATTTTGTCATTTGTGTGTTTCTTTTGTCATCATCTTATCAATCTTTGAGCCTAAAAAATTAAGTGGCACAATTTTGTATCATTCTGTAGGATTAGGGTATATGGTACATTAAAAGATCTTTAATCAAAAATAAAGTTTTTATTGATTGAATTTTCTGTCACATGGAGAATAGGAAGTAGGGCTGAGTTACCAAGAATTTATTTCATATTATTGAAAAGAGTTTAGTTCTGTTCCTCTGGAATTAAGGGAGGAGACTTCTTGACCTCAAAATACATATCAAACTGATCATTCTTTTCTTCTGGGATTTACCTCTTTTCATCACATCCCAGTCGTCTTAGATGCTGGAGTCTTGGACTCTTCACTGTGGGTCACAAAACATGGCTCAAGAAAGGATCCGTTCTAAGCTCTCAGATGTGCCCCTCGCTGAATACCAACAGCCTGTTGAACATTATAACATGCATTCTGCAAATTAGAATGCCAGAACACCAGAGGCTGTGGAAAACTTCAGATTACATTAAGCAAGCAGTCATCTAAGAGCGCAATGACTAGAGGTGGCTGCAGAAGTAGAAAGGATGTAAGACAATCCTAGACCCTTTGCTGTGCTCAGTGAGGGCTCAGACCTGTTCACCTCCCCTCCAGAACTTCAGGGTTCCTCAAAAGTTTTCACAGTTTTATTCACTGTGCAGGATTTGAGGAGTAGGGTACCTGGAGCTACATGGCCAGTGATTACTTTTTCCAAATGTATTCAGAGATTTGAGGCTTGAAGTAACTAAAGAGAAAGCTTAAATCGTTAGTTTTGTTTTGTACCACAGAGATATATATACTAAAATCTCAGAATGGGTCTTAGAATTGATTTAGCCTGAGGCTGTCATTAATCAGATGTGAAAAACTGAAGTCCTAAAAACTTGTCATTGAAAGCAACATTTTCAAGAAATGTAATCATATGTATTTAATGTATAAGGATATTATGATTGTTTCTAAACATTTCCCAGAAACAAAAATATAAGCCACTAGAAAAATGAGAGATTTCAGAAGTAGAAGAGACGTATAGTTAGGAAATGTTCACCATAAAAATAGTCTATTGCTGTGCTATCTAGTTTGTCATGATCCTTCATTTGATTTTAAATATATTCTCTCTTCTCAATAATAATAAACAAGATTATTACAGGATGTTGTACAAGGAAATGTAAATTTTCATAGCTTGGATTTTTTCCTACTGAACAGTTACATGAATTAGAGTAAATAATGTTCAGTACGTTCCTGGGTTGGATACAGTCATCTTTGGCTTGCCTCCTATTTTAGAAAATTTCAGTAGATTTCTTACTTTCCCCTTCAACCTAGAAAGTATCAGATTGCAAATAGCCTGTCTGAACAGGAGACATAATCTGTTTCTTGAGCTGTATCAACAAAGGAAATGCATCTACCAAGTATTATCCCTGAGTTCCCAAAATCAATAAAGTCCAGTTTCAAATGATTGGTTATTTGGCTACTGTGAAATTTCTGTTAGCAAAGTGATCAAGGAGATGAATATTTTCAGAATAAGATTATGTGTGGCTTTTTATTTAACTGTATTTTAGGATGAAAAAGTTTCAGGAATACAGAAAAAGTTGAAAGAATTATATGCTGAATACCCATTTGTACCACCTAGATTGTACAGTTGTTAATGAAATAGCAGTTGTTGTGAAATAATTGCTTGACCTCAGGTATATTCATCTGCTCATTTATCTATAATGTATGAGATACATTTTTATAGTTTCTACATTTCTATTTGGAATAATCAATGAAACTTTGATACACACACATATATATACACATACATAATTATGTATGTGCATTATTTTTCTTTCTCCAGTAAGCTGTGGTAATAGATTGTTTTTTATAGAATTGAGGAAGAAGAATGGGACAAATTCATCATCCCTGCTAAATCAGAGTCTGAAAAGTATAAAGTGAGTCGAACTTTCAGCTTCCTCATGAATAGGATGACTAGCCCTCGGAATAAATCCAAGGTAATTAAGATTCTGAACCTATTTTCTCTTTTTCTTTCTTTCTTTCCTTCCTTCCTTCCTTCCTTTCTTCCTTCCTTCCTTCCTTCCTTCCTTCCTTCCTTCCTTCCTTCCTTCCTTCCTTGTCTTTTTGAGACAGGGTCTTATTATGTAGTTCAGGCTGGTCTTGAGCTCACTGTGTAGCCCAGTCTGGTCTCAAACTTGCAACAGTCCTCCTGCCTCAGCCTCCCAAATGCTAGGATTACAGATGTGCACCACCATACCCAGCCATTGAACCTATTTTCTCTTAAGCATATGATGCTTAAGATTTGTGTCTATCTATAGATGCTTTACATTGTGTCTTAGAGTGTCTTTTACCTTAGATATGTCTTTCTGTGGGATAGTACCCGGCTCATTGGAAATAGTGAGACAGCCACCACTTGGGGACTGACACGTTGCCTTGCCATTTCCCAGCTCCTTGGTGTGCGGTCCTGATACTGCCGTAGGAGAGGCAGAGGATTTTTAAGGTTTCTGTAAGAAGGTTAGCTCACAGCATTTCCCATTTCTGTTTCCTCCTACTTCTTTGTTGCTGCTGCTGCTGTTTCTGAAGATGAAAAACAAGGATGCCAAAGACAAAGAGAAACTGAACCGACATCAGTTTGTTCCAGGAACGCTCTCTGGGGTCCTGCAGTGTGTGGCCTGCGATAGGACGCTCCTGGGGAAAGAGTCACTCCAGTGTTCTAGTAAGTGCTTGGACCTAGTGATGGGTTTGTGTTGTGCTTCTCCTGTCAGTAGGGTCCTGGAGGCTAGACTATTGCTAGCCACATTTACAGAGACTTGCTGTGTAGCGCTGCACATGTGACTGGGCCAGTTTATCTTGCAGCAGCTAATACTGGACAGGGTTAATACTTTTTGTCCACAATCAATAGCATTCCTGAGCCCCAGATCAACTGCTTCCCTGCTATTATACCCACTTAGATGCTGCCACAACATCTCCACTGTTTCCAGTCTCAAATTGAACCCTTATTCACCCCCTCTGTGGCATCTATATGCTGATCTTGTCAGATTATGACAGCTTTGTCGTTCCAGCCAGATGGTTATGCTGGACACTGTGACATATTTGTTTACACCTCCTTTCTCTCACATTCCACATCTAACTCTTTTGCAGTCCTCTTCCCTCTATTTTCAAATTGTATTAAAACCCATCTGCTTATGACCTGTCACATGTGGCTGGTTTAAAGTTACTATTTCAAAGCCCAGCATGGTGGTACATGCCTCTAATCCTAGCACTTGGGAGGCTGAGGCAGGAGGATCATTGCAAATTCAAGACCAGCCTGGGCTACAAAATGCACTCAAGACCAATCTGAATGACAGAGTGAGACCCTGTCCCAAAAAGACAAAAATAAATAAAATTACCATCTCAGTATCATTCTGATTGGTGCCTTGTTCTTTGACCCACTGAAGTTAATTTGCAAAGCTTCAGCTTGTGTAAGTTTGTTAAGTCATAGATCTGCAAATTCCAAGTCTTCCAGAGGCTTCCTGTATCCTCCAAGAGAAGGCCAAAGCCATGTTGTAACTAACTGCAAGGCCCCATGACAACTGCTCCATCTTCCACCTCCCCCTCACTGCCTTTGTTCTGGCCACACTGGTGTCTCTGCCATTCTTCCAGTGTGACAGGTGTGCTCCTGCCTGACTGTCTCGTTTGCCTGCCATGATCTTTCCACAGCTGGTCTCGTGGGTTGCTGAGATGGCGCCTTCAGAGTGAGGATTTCCCAGCTCATTCTTTGCTTGGTCCCTGTATTTCCCCCCATCATGTTTACCACCATCTAACTCACTGCACGTCTTACATATGGATTTTAACAGCTGTCTCCATCATACGTTCCATGGGCCTGTATTTGTGTTTGTTGGACTTGTTCTCTGCTCTACTCACAGTAGCTAGAGGAATACCTTAGAGTAAGTAGTTAGTAAATATTTGTTGACTCAGAGAATAATTCAGATACAAAAAATTCGCGCCCAGGCAGGTGAAATGCTTTTCATGGCATTGGTTGGTAGCTGTAATTGGGGGAACATTTGGAAGGTGGATTGGGCTACAAAAAGGAAGGAAAAGCAGAAGTCGTGTGTATAACACCCCCTAACCCAAAGAGTTAAAGAATTTAAGCGTGCTTACAGTTTCGTATCCGATGAAAATGCTGACTATAGCATTAAAGATCAGTTGTTCTTCTGGCATTAAAGGTAGATTGGCTGGCACTGTCATTAATGATGCCAACTTTATTGCATGCTTGAACTTGGCTTTCCTTGAAGATTTGATTTCTTTCTTTCATGGGATCTAAAATAGCACCATCCCATTCAGATATGATTTAATTTGTGTGTGTGTGCACGCACGCATGCACGTGTATGTGCACTGAGGATCAATTCCAGGGAACTCACAACCTCATGCTTGCCAGGCAGGCACTTTTACAGTGAACTATGCCCTTGGCCCCAAGCCACTGGCTCTTACTTTTCTTAAGTTTTTGGCATTTGCTGTATTTGTTTATGTGTGATTCCTGGCAACCCACTTTTCAGCAGTCAGGTGATCTGCATGGTGGCTGTGTGTTTCGTAGCTTCTCGTTTCATTTTCTTGATAGGACTGGGTCCCTTTAATGGTACCCCAGCCACAGCCAAGACTGTTCTCACCCATAGTTTCTGGCTTTCAGTTCTGCATCCACTGCTTGCCCTCCGGCCTGACAGTTCTGCATCAGCCATCTCTGTTTTGGCCTGTGTCCTACTTAACTGAAGTCTTGCTTGAGGGAAGCTTGGGGTCACTTTCAGGTTGAGCTGGACAGCCTTTCCTCCTGCCTCAGGCTGGCTGCCTTCTTTAGGTGACCCTTTTCCTCCTCTGCACTGCACATGACTCTTCTGTGTCACCAGCTGTACGCTCTCCTTTGTCCTAATTCCAAGGGCCCTCCAGACTCAGTTCTAGGGCTTTTGTTAATCCTTCCTCTATTGTTTCTAAGTGTCTAGGCCTACACAGGAGACTTTGAAACATGGACAGTTGTCCCTGCGCTGACTCTCTTCTCTGGGTTAATGCCTGCGTCCCTTTTATTTCCACATTTCTGGTTGCTGAGAGGCTGAGGACTGTGTCATCTAGGGCCACTTTTGAGAGTGATGGTGTAATGATGCACTGAACCAGACTGCCACAGGCACACTGCTCCTGGGGTGACCCTGTGTGCAGGCAGCTTCCTCCAGAGACTTCACTGCCCTGCCATCCAACATGTCTCAGGCCAGCCTCAGAATCCACGCGCAGACTGTTCCTGCTTCACCCAGGATAATGGCATGTGGGCCAGACGCTGGTTCCTGTGACTCTGTTTCCCTCTGTGCCTGCCTTCAGTGTTATTTGTTCATTCTTTCCTGTTCCCTCGCCCTGTTGCTACTTCCCAGTCTGCTGAGAGAGAACTGTGCTTGTTTCTTCCTTCCGTAGCCTTTTCAATTAGAATTTATGATGAGATCTGCTCCGCACTGACTATGATTGCCACTTTCTTTAGCCCATGTGAACTCGGGGAGCCCTCTGCATGGGTGAGCCACACACAAGCTCTTTATTGAGGTCTGGTCACTCATTCGGGAGCTGCTAACTGGTGCCACTCTAGCCTCCTCAGCAGCAGCAGACAGCCCGAGCCCTGCGGGTCCTATCATCCTCGTCTTTCACTGCCTGTTCTTTCCCTTCAGCTTGCGGTCATCTCTATTTTTCTCTGTTCCAGATCCTCTGCCTCCTCTTGGCAGGTCTTCCCTGGTCACTGTAGTCCCATTCTTGCCTGTTACTTTTGTGATCTGTTCACTGTATTCTGCTGAATCAGGTTGTATGTAAGTTCTCTAAGTTTTAACTACTGGACCTGACTGAGTCCTTCAAGGATGGTCATCCTGTGAGGGCTTTGTTTAACCCTCCCAGCAGCCATCTTGAAGGTGGCTCTTAGACACTCGTACCTAGTAAATGACTGAAGAAGCCTAGGGCCAGTGATCCCTGAAACAGGAAACTTTTGTAGTGGCTTGCGGATGAAGGTCGTAGTGGAAGTTGGAAATTCTCCCGTACCTAAGGTATATTTAGCTGGTAAAGCAGTTGTTACTTTAAAAAATGGATTAGAATTCATAGATGATACAAAGCCTAAGGAAAAACTGTATCTTAAATTGTACCACATAGAGAAAATTGCTGTTGATATTTTGACAAAGTCGCTTCTAGTCATAAAAATATTTTAGTCACTTGAAATCCTAATGTTTCATTTGATGGTGAATTCAGATACGTTTAATTATTTCTTATTGTATGTTTAAGTTTCATCCTAGGCTTTCACAATATAAAGCAGCATTCCTAGTCACATATCACTGTCCATATCTTTGATTATTCCTTTAGATTAAATTCCAGTATCAGTGTTTATGGGTCAAAGTTGATCAAAACATTTGATGCTTTTCCTTAACTAGCAATTTTTTAGAATTAGTTTTAAGATTTACAGATTTTTTTTCTTTTTTCAGGTAGGCATTGGTGATTTAAACTTCGCTTGTTAAGTTTTTATAGTGAGTAAATGGGATGTAACACGGGCAGTCTCTTATTTTAGGTTGATAATGATATTCCATCAGTGTATTATTATTTTTAATTGTGAATGTTAAAATTTCTAATCTTAATAACATGAAATATGAAACAACACACAACATAAATATTCAAATTCCTGGCATCATTTTTCTCTGTTAAACTTGTATTATGAATCCTTTAAGGAATTTTATTTCTATAAAAGTTTTCTTATTTTTAAATGTTTCACTTGTTATTTGAATATTATATTATCTTGTACAAAAACCCTACGTTCACTGCATATTTTACTTTAACCAACATAAAATTACTCTTTTGATGGCATTAAATGTTCTTTACATTGAAGTTTGTGCTATCTTTCCTTTTCTTTTTATTTCTGTTCTTTTCTTTTCTTGCTATTTCCCTTAACTATTTCCATGGTTTCAATTTGGGGGTGTGTGTCTTTAATTTACTCAGAGATAATCTGTATTATAACTAAAAGATCTTGTTTTATAACAAAGGGTTTTTCATATTTACATTTAGTTTTACTGCTTCCAACTATGTTTTATGGTTTCTTGCTGTTTTCCTTATGTCTGGTTAACTATTTGAGCGATGTGTTGTTTGCTTTTATCTTCTCGTGGGATTTGGCCAGATAGGCTCTTTTAATATCTACTAATGATAGCTTTAAGGCTGTGGAAAGCTAATCATTTAATATGCTTTCTTTTTTCCGATGGTTATAATTTTCCCCTCAGCCTCTGTTAATTATTACTGTATTCCTTTTCTATCTTTGCTTAATCTTTGAAGACTAATTTAATATTTTAAGAAAAATATGTTTCTATGCAGCTGTGTCTCTACTTACAAAGTTTAGATTTGCCTCTTTGTTTTTTTAGCCACACCCCGCCTTTAAACTACAGCCAAGCTATTCCTTGATTTTGATTTTGCTTGGAATAGTCTAGAATAGACCTAATCTGATTTCTAAAACCTTTTGTAATGGGAAATTTTTTCTCCTTTCACACAAAGAAGACAATTTATCTAGCTAAATAAAACTTGGGACTAAAATCTTGTCCCCTGGGGCTGTGTCCACACTGTTCCCGTGTAGTCAGGCACCCATTACTACAGTGGGAGGAGGGTTGGAAGCATATCTACCTTGATTCCTTTGTTGCTAACCTCCTTTTTCCGACTGCGTGCTTGAGAACTTTAAAATTTTTAATTATCTGAATTTTTTCAGAATGTTACCTGTAGAATAGGAATCATTTAACTTATTATAAAAAAGCACTGAGACCTTTGATCTGTCCTTCGAGGTGCTTTTTCAGCTGTATGACATTTTTTATCTGTTGTAGCTTTGACTACTGTTCCTTCTGATCTAATTTTTCTGATTTCTTTTCTGGGAAAAATGTGATCTCTGGTATCTGTCTTTTTTGTGTGACATCTTCTGTTTCATAATTATACCCTTTGTCCTTGCCGCATTCTGGAGGGAATCTTTCAAGTTTAATTTCACAGCACTGCTTTGACATTCTTGTCAGCCGGATCTAGCTCAATTTGCCTTAAATTCTGCTCTTCCTTGAAGTCCCTGCTTCTCTCACAGAGCTCCGTTTTCCCCTCATTCCATGGGCCTATTTCATCTCCCATTCTTCCTTTGTGGCCTGTTGTTCTATTACATTGAAGTCCTACTTTCCATCTTTTATTGAAAAAATAATTTCAATATCTACATCTGTCTCCTTTGTTTCTGGATTTCATTATTCCTATGAGTTTCCAGAGTAACTTTGTTGTGTGGAATGTCATAGAGTCCATTTTTCATTTTCCTTTTATTTACTTGTTCTGGAGTAGGCAGAGTTGTTGGGTATTGACAGTAGCCTTGACCCTGTTTGGTGGTCACTGGGTGTTGCCTGAAATGATCCATAGCTGATAGACAGTTGTGGGGCTCAGCCCTAGCACACAGAAAATCACTGGCTCTTATCCAGCATGGCGCTGATGGGCCAGGGCACGGCCTTCCATTGCCATGGAAAGATTCCCTCTCAAGAAGTTTCTGGAGTTCAGAGTGCTGCATTTGGAGTGGGTGGAATGAGGGCCAGTGGTGGAGGTAGGAAGGAGAAAGAGGACAACACCGGGACCCAGTAGAGACTGGTCCCCAGGTGGCCTAGGCATCCATGAGGAGATCTGGGCTTGTGCTTCGGGGAGGGTGGACAGGAAAACTTCCTCTTCCCTTCTTCCAGAGAGACAGGGCCATGTCGTGTCATTGTTTTAGGATATAACACATGGCCAAGTGGCTAGCTTTTCTCATTGAATCTGGCTACGTCACACTTTCGGATAATAGGAGTTTGCTAGTTCATTCCACCCCACCCCCACCCTACCCCCAGAATCCTGGTGAGGTTGTTTTTTTTCTTTCCATGGTCCTAGCATTTAATCTGGTGTGGGCGTCAGCCAGGTATCAGAAATCCCTTACCATATAATACATATGATACTGAATAAGTCCTTAGGCAGAGACAGAAGTGTGCATGATGCATAATTCCAGAGTTCATAATTGATAAAAATAATTTCAGGAGATGAAAAATGCCTCCAAGGCAATCAAATTTCCAACAATGTGCTTGCGCTCTGGTGGAACTATAAATCACTTAAGTATTTGTCTTTCCTTAGGCTTTCTAAATATTTGTAACATGTATGAATTGTTTTTTAAAGACCATAAAAACAGGATATAGTCTTGTTTATGTCAGGTTCTTCTGAATCTTTTCTCTTTATTTCAGACTGCAATGCTAATGTTCATAAGGGTTGTAAAGACGCCTTGCCTCCATGTATCAAGGTAATGTCCTGGTCATTGACAAATGTGTGTCTGTTTCTATCTTGTTTGCTTTGTATTCTCTGTTTGAGATTTAATTCCTTTTTATTGTTACCCAGATTTATTTCTGAAGTGATCACTGTGATGATAAAACCACCTGCTCAAAATGTATGGTTATTTACTGAATTGTACATTTTGAGCAATGGAAGGAAAGCCCCCCGCTCTGGCCATTTGGGTTACACTGTGTGAGTGGGTTAGGCTTTCTGCTGAGACCTTGCTTGGCTTACCAGTGCAAAGCCTGAGTATTTTAAATGAAAATTAGAGCAGTGATTCTCAGATATCAGCCAACCCAGAATCAACCTGGAGACCATGGGGCTGCATTTCTCTGAGTCTCTGACAAGTTCCCTGGGTTTGCTGGGGCTGCCAAGACCCCACCTGAGGGTCATGGGGCTGAAGAAATACGCCCTGTCCTCCGGTCAGGCTGCATAGATGAAGGCATCTGTGTCTGTTCCTTTCTAGTCATGTGAGAAATGCATGTGTGTGGGCAGGATGTTCCTTAAAAAGGGAACGCGTGGAGTCACAAACCTCTGTGTTGACTTAAGCACTTACTGTGGCAGATCACAGAGCCCAGAGCTGCCTTAGAAGGCGATATTCAGTGCTCACTGTGGTCAGCTCCTGTGGGAGGAGGAATCGTGAGGGGTAGAACAAAGAAAAAGGCAGTGTCCATGGGAACTGCTCTTTGTTTGAAAGAAGTAAAATAACAAAAAATGACACAGATGAGAATCCTGTTCTGTGTAGCCACGTGTGCATTCTTGTAGTCCAGTGGTGCTTTGATCTTACTTGATGTGTTTCTAATATTCTTTACCAGAAATTCCAAGAGAAATACAACAAGAACAAACCACAGACGATCCTTGGAAGTAAGTGATTTGGAAAAATGACAAGAACCTTTAAAAATTTAATGCTTACCCTATATTTTTCCACTGTAAAAATACCTTCTGCTTTTGTTTTCCGATTTGGCCAATTATTTCTTTTTTTTATTACATAGGCTTGGCATAATTTTTAGTTCTATAAGAAGATCAAGAGAATGTAAATTTCCATGCCAGCCTAGAGCTTTTGCATCACGTGTACCATGTGATCTTTTGTGTTAGGGAGGATTATACGGAGAAAGTATAACCATATTTATTGCCTCAATTCTAAGGTGCTGTCTAGTAGAATATTCTATATTGATTTAATAACCTTTGAGGAAAAAAGATATATTACGTGATACATACACAATTTTATGTTTTCATAGCACACATTTATTTATACAAATACACACCACATTCTCCTTCAGAATCATAAAGTTTGGTAAAAACAAGTCACATTTGGACCCCATTTCTTATTAGTTCCTGACATGCATGTGCATTATTATGATGATCTGGTGCTTTAATGGTCTATGATTTCATTACCACTTTGGGGATGACAGTGCAATTATAAAACCTACTGGAATTTTTTTTGAGTATTTTTTTAAATTGTTGCTTTTTGGTTTTTTACCCTGATTGTAAAGTTGCATTGTATGACATGTGGCTGGAATTTTAAGTAAATTTTGATTTAAATGCTGTAATAAAGTGTAACTGATATTTTAAAAAACACTTGAATTGGGTCAATTAGGTCTGCACAGTCATGCTGACACACTTTTGTGTGTGACGACATACAAGATGAAGTTAGTCAGGTAGTAATAGCAGTTGCAGCTTTTCTTCTCTTATCTTGGCCTCAGAAGTCTCTTGAAAATCAGTTATAAAGCACCACTGAACTTCAAAAAAGTTAAGTGTGAACATAAAAAAGAATTGTAGACTAGATAAAGTACCATGTAATTCTCCTCTTTACTTGGGAGTCATAAGAACAAATACATATTTTAAATCCTTTGCATTATCCAGTGACCTGTACCATGTAAGTATTTCTTCTTTTTGCTTGGGAACATGTATGCAATAGCTGTAATATTCTGGTACTGAGATATTTCTGAGTCTCATTAATATTATGCAACAAATATAAATGTATCAATGCCCAGAACATTTTAAAGCTGGCCAGAAAAGTATGGGAGCACTATTCTGTTTTCAGCTGGGTTTGCAGGTTGCATTGGCCCGAGGTTCTGTTGCCACAATGAAGAGATTCCCGACATCACCCATTCCATTCTCTTGACTGTTCTTGACTTCCATTCTCTTGACTCTGTTCTTCCCGCACCCTGTTTGTTTATAGTCACCGCCATGCGCACTCCAGTAACAGTGCTAATGACACCTTGCATCTATTTAAAGCCGCCTCTGAGGAGTACAAGCAGTGGTTTGTGGGAAAGCTGGCTAGTGTTTCCCCATTCCATTTTCTTGTTTGCTTGTGTCGTCCCAAACACCTACAGCCTCAGGTAGAGGCGGAAATAGGCCTGCCACACAGGATCAGGACAGTTCGAAAGGAAGCGACATTTGCAGCAAGTATCAGCTTGTGGCAGGGAGACCAGTTCAAGACTGGGCATGTGACGTATTAGAATTGACTGTTTGAGGATTTAGTGTCTGGCTTTGAAGTGACTTTCCTCACTTGTAATTACTGTCCTCTGTGAGAACCACATGCAGCCCCACTCTGATTTCCAGGTTCTTCAGCCAGAGACATCCCACAGCCTGGGCTCTCCTTGCACTCTTCATCTTCCATGCCCGTTGGACTCCCAGCTCCAAGGAAGGAACCTGCAGGGCAGGTCCCAGTGCTGTCCAGAAGTGTTCCAAGTACTGCAGTGGAAAGGTAAGGATCAGTGTGTTACTCAGTCCTCATGGCGCAGAGAGGCTGCTGGGCCTAACTCCTCTCTCCTCCCTCCCTCCTAGCTCCAGGAAGTCAGCCACATCCTTGGAGTCTGAGGGTGATGGGAACAACTGGAGAAGCAGGTCTCAGTCCGATGAGCTGCAGTCCATAGGCTCTTCTTCTTCCATGGAGACTTTCATAATGGAAGGTGAGGAGAAGATATGTTTGCATTAGTTATGTTTCTGTGGGCATTGGCTGAAAGGAATATTTTCTAAAAAAAAGCAAGACCAAAGTGTATTCATTTGTTCTGTAAAAAAGACATCTGTTTCATGGCTTCTATTTGGCATAGGTTCTACTTTGAGAAGAGAATTCTATCCTGAAAGAAACAACCAGAGGATACTCCAGGAGACAGGATGTAACTTTTAAATGGGCATATTCCCTAAAGAATGGGGTCATGATCCACAGAAAGAATGAAATATGTTGTGTGTTCATCATTGAACAACAGAGGTTTTATAATGATTGATGGGCTGGAAAGAATCTTACATTAAAATATATATTTTAATTACTGACAACTGGGCCATCCTGGATTTCCCCCCACTTATTACATCCTACTTCTAGGGAAATAAAAGCATTTTTACAGAGTATTTTGTGGGACAGAATTTAATTTGGGAAATTGCTTTTCATGTCCAACTTGCATAAATAAATGAAAGAAAGCCAAGTGGAAAAAGAGAGGAGGCAGGCTCTCCTCACAAACCTGTTGCTCTCAATCTGCTGTCAGTTCCTTTCCACCGCTGAGAGCTGAATCTCTCTGCTGAGTGCTGTCGAGGACAAATACAACTTGGTTTTCCTGAAGGGTGTTTCCTTATATGTGTTTAACTCCACCAGAAAAATCTGCACTCATTTGTGACTCAAGTCTTGGTATTCTGCTTTGTGCTTTGCCTACTCCAGAACAAACCAAGTAGACCAGTTCAAAGTTTAGGTTTGAGGAAACAGGAAAAACAACCCGGGGCAGAGGAAGCACAGAAGAGAGAGCCCATGAGCACGTCATGGACTCCAAGCGTTCCCTAACATAGGAGTAAAATGGAGGAAGCCAAAACACACGACAGAGCCTTCAGATCTCTTTTTTCAAGCCCATATACACAGCCACTAATTTTGTTTTTATTAGCACATGCGTATTAGTTTTATCTTTTGCTTAGTACATGTGTGCAGTGCAGAGTGACGTGTGCCGTCCCTGCTCTCTTGCTCAGTGGCTGCTCTGTAAGAGAGGGGAGGCGAGGGTAGACCAGTGGGGCTGGCAGTTTTGATCTCCAGTCTTCAAGGTCCATCACTTTCTCACTTAGTTCTTGGTTTCAGAGGAACATGGTATATACCATATTTTCTGTATCTGTTCGCCTGTTGATGGGCATATAGGCTGATTCTTCTTTGCTTTCACGAAAGCTCTCTGGATATGGACCTTTTCATCATTCTGGTTTTCAGAAATTCCAGCTCCACCCGGGCGTGTATTTAGACCACGCTGTCTCCGTCCCCATAGGTGTGGTTAGTGTGTGAAAGCTGTGAACATGGTATTTAGAAGGATCCATTGTTCTCTGTGTTTCTGTCCTTCTGGCCTTCTTTTCTAAATGCGATAGATGTCATGGACTCTTCTCTGTGGAGTGATCTCAGCAGTGAGGCCCAGGAGTTTGAAGCAGAGTCGTGGAGCATGGTGGTGGACCCCTCATTTTGCAGTAGGCATGAGAAGGATGTCATCAAAAGGCAAGATGTCATTTTTGGTAAGCATCTCAAAAGCATCCTGGGGCTGAAACAGTGTGGTACAGAACAAAGAAGGTGACATGTGAAGCCACACAGACCTAGTTTCGAAGTTCATGCTTAGTGCTAGTTGCCTGGTGAAAGACAATTTGTCTGACTCACTTGACCTCAGTCTGTCCATCTGTATAATGGTGATAACAGCACTCAGGTTGGAAATGTTGTTCTGAGGCTTAAGTGGGGTGCTATGTGAATCTGGTATAAACCAAATTCTATTTCCCTTACCTTTACAAGTTACTTAGTGTATTAGTTACTTTCCCATCACAAAATACCCTACATCCACAGCTTAAAGGAAAAGAAGTTTCTTTGACCCACAGTTCCATCCAAATAGGTTCCAAGATAGAAAGAACAGGGTAGCAGGGCCTGGCAGAGGACAGCAGCTCAACCTGGGGCAGCCAGGAAGCAGAGAGAGAAGGGAGGGGCTGGGGGTGGGAATCCACCCTTCCAGGTTGTGCCCCAGTGACCCACTCTAACCAGGCCCCACCTCCTGATAGCACACTCAGTGTGAACCCTTCAGCTGGTGATCCACTGATAGCACAGTGCCGCATCATCCAAGCACCTCCCCATACAGAAGACTTGCAGAACATTCTAGATCCAAACCGTAGTATTTGTCTCAGCCTATACTTTCTCCTCTCTTGTGTTCATCATATTCACACCTGTTTCATGGAGAGGAGACAGGGCTCTTGCATGTGGTCCTCCAGTTTGGCTGCACTTACCGGGAGCCATCCACGTGGATTGTAGTGTGAGAAGCAGTGTCTAGGTTAGGACAGTGCTGATGGTGTGCCGCCATTTGAACTGGGAACAGATGTCACTATGCCATTTGGAACACAGACAATCCGAAATAGGGGAGGTAAAATTTATATGCTAATTAGGAACAATGAAGTTTAAAAAAATTTAAGTTCAAAATAGGTGCTAAGGAGTAATTTTAAGAAGATAATCTATTTTAGGGCTGGGCATGCAGCTCAGTGGTAGAGCATTGGCCTAAGTGTATGATGCCCTGGGTTCAATCCCCAGCCTCCCTTCCCCCAAAGGAGCAGTGTACAATGAAGATGAGAAAGTCTTTTAGTTTTCCATGACTGCTTTTGCAGGTCCCCTGAAGAGACTATGCTCACTGATATCAGGTGGTGGCCACACAGCTCAGTAGAGTGCCTGCTAGGGGCTGTGGGATTGAGCTTCTGTGGGAAAAGCCTTCCCTTTTGTAGTGTTTCTCAAGCTTTTGTGTTACATGATTATTTGCAGGTAGCTCTCAGCTGCATGTATTATTAAAAATAACCTCATGCCCTGAGATTAATTATCACATGGATCATGGCTACTGATGTCAGAAAGCCCTGTGTTCCTGCAAAATCCTTCATCACTGTTTCCCTGCTTTAGATGAACAGACACTTTTGGGGTCAAAGTATAGAAATGAATTAAAAGAGTAAGGGTTACTATTTAGGTAAGTGCATAGCACAGAGGAAACACCAAAACAGTGTGAGGAAATAATAATTATGTAAAGCTAGGGGGTTTCTAATGAAAGACATTCCTTGTTTTTGAAAAACTAATAAAGTTATTTTTAGACTGACGTGCTCCCCACAACTAAAATCCTAGATTCTTCCCTGAGTGAGTTTGGAAATGCTTATTTTTATAAAATTTGTACTGCTAGTATTTTTACACATTGAGTTATTATTTTCTTTCTAATGCATTTAGAAAAATCGAGCTATAATTAGCATATAATAATGGTAATAAATAATAATAATAAAATTCACCTGTTCAAAGTATAAAATCTAATGGCTTTTAAAGTATTTGCAAAGTTGTACAAAAATCATCATTCTCTAATTCCAGAAAATTTATATCATTTCAAAAATAAACTTCATACTCAGTAGCTATCACTCTCCATTTTACCTTTCCAACAGCCTCTGGCAACCACAGACCTAATTTCTGACCCTAAGAACTTGCCTATTTTTGATATTTTACATAAATGGTAAAATATGTGCTTTTTTGTGACTGACTCCTGTCACTTGGCATAAGATTTTTGAGCTTTGTCCCACTTTAATAATATATCAATATTCCATTCCTCTTTATGACTAACATTCCATTTTATATACTTAATTTTTATCAGTTGATGGACGTTTGGGGGCATTTATACTTTCTGAGTTATATGGTAACTGTTTTTAATCTTTTGAGAACTTGGCTGTTTTCTAAAGTAGCTATGTCATTTTACAGCCTTCCAGCAATATATCAAGATTCTAGTTTCTCCACATCCTCACCAACCCTTGCTTGCTGTCCAATTTTTTTCTTATTAGAATTATTAGTGTGTGTCACTGTCACTGGAGTGGGAATGTGCTGGTGCTGGGGATCTAATCAGGGCCTTGTGTGTGCTAGAGAAGACTCTCCCATTGAGCTGCACCACCAGCACTGGTACCTCACTGAAGAAAACACTATTCAATCCCTTGCCCATTTCTAAATTGTTTTTATAAAATTTTTGAGTTAAAGTTTTTAAAATGTTTTTAAAACATTTTTGAATGTCTCTTATCAGAGCAATGATTTGCAAATATTTTCTCCTATTGTGTGTCATCTTTTTTACTTTCTTTTGTGCCCATGATTGTGACTTAGCATTTACCTCTGGAGAAAATAAAATTTTGGGACAGGTTCTAATGAGTGCATCGAGGGAATTTGTATGTTTAGGTCAAGTTAGTGCACCAAATTAATTGTTCCTCTATTCAGTGCAAAACCCAAAGGGGGTGGGGAGCAAGCAAACTAAGTTATATTGTATAAGACAATCCAGTCGGAATAAGACATTTAATTCCTAACAAGAGGACCTAAAGATGCACATTGATTCTTATATTTTGAACTTCAATTACATACATATACCTTCTCTTAATACCTGGAGAAAAGAAAATAGCTTCCTAGTTTAAGCTCAGATGTTTAATCTTAATTGATTTATATATTGAAAGAAATATTCCTGTCATTCCTGCATGTTCATCTCTTTTATTTCTGTAGCATAGTGTAAGCTGCTAATTTAGGTCTATAGGGACATTTGTGTTTTCAGCTTCTTTGGAATGTGTCTGCTCTCACATTTTAGAGCTAATGCAGACGGAAATGCATCACATCCAGACCCTGTTCATCATGTCTGAGATCTTCAGGAAAGGCATGAAGGAGGAGCTGCAGCTTGACCACAGCACCGTGGATAAAATTTTCCCCTGCTTGGATGAGTTGCTCGAAATCCACAAGCAGTTCTTCTACAGTATGAAGGAGCGCAAGCAGGAATCCTGTGCTGGGAATGACAGGAATTTTGTGATCAACCGGATTGGAGATATTCTAGTACAGCAGGTAAGGAAGGTTTGAAACCCCTGACTTCAGCAACTTAAAAGTTTGTTTCTGGGTTACTTTTCTCATTGCTGAGACAAAATACATGATGATATCTACAGGTTAGAGGAGGAAGGGTTGGTTTATATTGGGCTCACACTGTAGAAATTGCAGTCCATAGTTGGTGGGCTTCAAGGCAGAGTGATATGGCAGAAGGGGCATCACAGAGCAGAAACAGTCCATGCAAGAGCAGGCAGAAACACAAGCAGCAGCCACCTGCCTTCCATCTTTCCTTGTATATCCTATCCAGGCTACAAGCCTACAATTGGTGCCAGTCACAGCCAGGTTGGGCTTTGCATCATTCACACCCAGAACAATGCTACACCAATTAGTGGGCTCATTTAGTTGTCCTGTACTCTTAATCCATATTCACATGCCTGAGATTCAGCCACCTCCAAAAGCTCCACCTGTGAGCACATAAGGCTTTGGGAGGACATCTAGCTATAATTCATAAGTTGTAACTCCTTAGAGTATTAAAAACCTATGAAGAAACAGAAAGGATTTCATTATAATTATTGGCAGATAGTCTTGGCTGGTTTTATTTGATGCTGATTGATTGTGAGTGGCATTACCCATGTCAAAGAGCTCCTAAGAGCCAAAGAAGGACCCCTGCATGTGTTACGGGACCTGGATGGATTATCCTGGTACCAGAAGTCACAATCATAAGTGAATTCCCAAATGAACATTCTGCTTAGACTCTTTGATGTGATGGGGTCATGGATCCCCCAGTGGGCTATGACAGTCTCACTCATGTCTCCCAGACAAATGTTGGCTTAAAGAAGGAGGCAAATCTGCTATCACTCTAGGATTCATGGCTGGGGAATGAAACAATCGAGATTTCTCTATGTTGTCTAGATATTAGTTCTTGTTGATTATATGGTGACTATTTTCTTCAGTGACTTCTCATCCTCCAGTTTATCAGTTTTTCCTTTAAAAGATTATTGCTTTTGGTTTTAAAGTCTGAGAACTTTTGGTCTAGCCATAGATCTCAAACATTTCTATTTTTTTCTAAAAGTTTTTTGGCTTACAGTAAGTCTGTGTTACACTTTGAGCACTTTTTTTGTAAAAGAAAGTGCTATGAAACTTATATTTGGGGTTTTTTATTTCTATTTTTCATTTATGGATATCTAATTGCTCCTGCACCATTTTTTTTTTTTTTACTGGAAAGGCTACTATTTTCCATTGAGTTGCGTTTTCAGTCAATGGAGCATTCTGAGTTTCTGTTCTGTTCCATTGTCTGTTTCCATGTAATCTTAATAACTGTAAATTATATATATATTTAAGTTGGAAGGAGTCCTTTATTGTTCTTCTAAAAATTGTTTGGCTACTTTATTTCTTTGGCCATTTAAAATATATTCTAGGACAGTCTTTTTACACTTATGAAAAACTTTTTGGGATTTTGGTAAAAATTACATTAAGCCCATATATATACATATGCAGACATGTATATATACCTATATATACATATATATACACAGACACACACACATATATATATGTATATGCTATATTGAGTTTCCAATCCATGAATCTGGTGTAGGTCTCTAGTTATTTAGATCTTTGATGTCTTTCATCACATTGTGTAGTTTTCATCATAAAAGTCCTATCTGTGTTTTGTTAAAAGCAACTGTAAGTGATCTAAGGATTATCTTTTGAGGCATATTGATCTCACGTATAGATTAAACTGTAAGCAAAAATGAAAATATCAGCGATGATGATGTAAATTTTAAATACTGTTCAAGGAGGGTGGATGTGCTCTGGTCTCTATTGCAGTGATATTCAACATGAAGCTGTGCACATAGCATTTTCATAATTTAAAATTTCACCTTCAAATAATTCGGCTGATTTTCTCAGCACCCTTCTGTATTTCTTCGGTGTTTTTCTTGTGTAGGTTTTTCTACACAGAATTTTCTTCGGGTTAGGCCTACTGCAGCTTTCAGGCTTTGTGTCTTATTCAGTTAATAAATTGACATTCGGGTTTCTCATCACTCTGTTATCATTTTGGCTAATGATGTCTCGCTTCTTAACCTACTTGTGATGTGTGGACATTCAATACATAAAAATATTTAAAATACATATCGGAAGGATAAAGCTATATAAAAAATTCTAAAAAAGAATAGAAGACATCAAGTGTTTCTCATTTGGCTACTTGATGATTATTGTATTATATAATAACAATATAATCTTATTGTGGTGGCTTTGATCACTTAACAAGTTTCTTTTATGTTAATTTTAGACGTCCGTGGGGAAGAGAAATAATTGTACTCAGAAATGTCATGTTTGTTCTAAATTTGCAAAGAATATTTTAAAATATACTGAAATTACATATTCCTTTCTATGTTTAAAACCTACTAAATTTGCCGACCATCACTAAAATGTTGTTCTCAGTTTTCAGAAGAAAATGCAAGTAAAATGAAAATGATATATGGTGAATTCTGTAGCCATCATAAGGAAGCTGTTAGCCTCTTTAAAGAACTCCAGCAGAATAAAAAGTTCCAGAATTTTATCAAGGCAAGTACTTTAAAATTTGATTACAAAGTGGTAAACCAGCCTGGGGAAATAGTTCATGCTGGTGTCTTGTATGATTTAGACAAGTTTTGCATCTAGGTTCTTGTTTTCAAGGGAAAGTGAAGGAAGTGGTAAGTTTGTGGGGAAGACAGAGTCTCTCTTCTATGTGAACTATTTCTCCAGAGTCCTTTCTTTTGGGATATCTGTGGAGTCATGCCCTCTAAATTTCTGTGAAGATCTACAACATTCTGGGAAGGCATTTCATCCCCTGACAAGTTACATATCAGAGAAACCAGAGTAAAAGCAAATACAGATTCCATCCAACCTCTTTCAAATTAGTTTCAGATATTAGTTTGCTTCAAAATTAGAAGTAAATCCATGGTATCTTATAGTTTCATCTGTAATATATATCTCTACAGAGTCTATCTTTTATATCTAAATGAATTAGCAACAATTCTTTGATGTCTTCAAATTTCATTGTTTATATCATGAAATTGAATTTCTTCAATCAGGCTTTTATAAGATTTGTATATAGTGATTATCTTTTAAATCTCCTTTAAATTGAATATTCTCTTCTTTGTTTTCCCCTTTCCCAGTTTATTTGTGGAAGAAATTTTTCCTGTAATGCTTTTTGGATTCTAAATTTTACCTACAATTTTAAGAATGCTATCAGATATTCTCTCTCTCTCTCTCTCTCTCTCTCTCTCTCTCTCTCTCTCTCTCTCCATGTACATGTGTGTTGAGGATTTGAAAACTTAAGGAATGTTTTGAAATGTTCAGCAAAATGTTACCCTGAGTGGCAGGAGCCGTAAGTGCTATCATGTATAATAACAAATGTGACAGAAGTCGTGCTGGCTAAACAGATAGCAAGCTACAGACTCATGCTCAAAATTAGCTTTGATTTTTGAGTATTTTTCAAAAAAGGTTACATGTGAATTCTCATAATTTGTTCACCTTTGGAGTTAATTATGAATTCATTAGAGTAACTTGAAATAAGAATTCTTGAGATCTTGGAGTACTGGGATATTGAAATTAATGACGAAGTATAAAGTTTAGTGATGATGCATCAGCTTTTAATTAATGATGATGAATGCATTAGCTCTGAAAGGAATTGTTCTGTTGGAGGTTTTTTTGTGTTACTAAATTTACATGTAAAAAGTAAATACAACTAAGAATTTGTGTATATAAAAATGTGTTTCTTTTTAAGCTCCAAAATAGTAACCTTTTGGCTCGACGCCGAGGAATTCCAGAGTGCATCCTTCTGGTCACCCAGCGCATCACGAAATATCCTGTTTTGGTGGAAAGGGTGCTGCAGTACACAAAGGGTAAGTGATGACTCCTGGACGGTATTCACCTCTCTTGTCAGTGTTACACATAGCTGAGGTGCACTGAATAACTAATAATGTTTGTACTCTCAAATTTGTAAATACTGCCCATATTTGCAAACTTTAAAGCCCTAGAATTGAGATCCACTTTGAGAAATTATCTTTTATAATACAGCTTTCTAAATAGCCTGAATCCTCATAAGGACCATAAGCCAAGCAATCTTCTTCATACGTTTATCTTGCCTGTCACCTTATCTGGACCTTTTTAATACCTCCTTTTCCTGTTTTGCAGCAGTCTGATGAGACGTGATGCTATTGATGCTATCACCAAATGTCAGCTTTCTCAAGCAATGAATTATCAGCCTGACAATGTTGTGTGAAAGAGCTATTTTTATCCCAGATGTTCCAGGAGTAACATCTGAGCATTTTTAAAAAGCTATTAATGCATATGACTGGACTTAAGCTCCCTGTAGGATTTATAAGATCTGTGTCTATCTGGTTTGTGGCTAGATGCTCAATGCCTAGTTCTCAGAGCAGACCACACTGAAGTCTAATTACTCTCAGACTTCTTGGATGTTGGTTCACAAGATTCGCTTATGACTGTGCTCCTCCAACCTTATTAGCCATCCCCTCCTCCCAGAGACCTTGTCTGCGTGCAGACTGAATGAGTAGGTTGAGGGGCGGGGAGCTAGGCCAGCATTTCTGACAAGACTGCTGGGAAGGCTGATGCTGCTCCACTTTGAGTGGCCAGGCATTGCAAGACACTGTCCGCGGACATTGTCCAAAGACATCGAGCTTTTTCCTGGCCTGACCCCATGTCACCTTGTAACTCCTTTTATTTTCTGTCCTCATCTTTTCTAGTGATAAAGTAGGCTCTTTAGAGATAAGACCCTTTTCAGGTGGAAGCAGTTTGATGGACATGAGGTAAGGAAGAGAGGCAAATTCTTCCCTGAGTAGAGAGAGAGTCTTCATTGTAAAGGTGGAGGTCAGGATCTGTTCCTTAGGGTTTTCTAATAAAATCTTCACAAATCAGCAAAGACATTTAGCCTTGGAAGTGTTTAGACCCTTGGACAGAACCCCATTTGGCTAGAATGCTTTTTCCAAGAATATACTTCTATGATTCTGGACTCTGGAGAACCCTTGGATTCTCTTGGTTTTCTCTTCTTTCCTTTAGTGCATTCACTTCCCATCATCTCAGTCAACGCCAACCAGGTGATTGTCATCACACAAGAAAACTTGCTAAATTCTCTTGCATCTGGAGTTTCAGGGGGCTATTGCTGAAACTCCTCTAGAGTATTTTCTTCAGGTAATCTAGGCTTGAGAGCAAGTGGCTATTTAAAAGACTAACAACTGGACTTGGCCATTATTTACTCTGTTGTCATAAGCATGGCTCACTTACTCATTTTGCAGTGTCTTGGTCCTTTGAAAGTATTTCAGCTTTTACACAATCAGAAAGGGGAAAAAAAGCTACATCACATAATGTTTTTATTGTAATATGAATCTATGCCTGTCTTTGCTAATACAGCTATAGTGTATAGCTTTGAATATTTTCATGGAGGATCCAGGAAGGCAGTTGAGCCTGGGGCTTCTTCAGATCACCTTGTGGCTGTGTTTCTGAGAGAACACAGGTGTGGGAGTTACTTGGGACCCTGTGTCTAGAAAGGAAGGCCCAACTTAGTGTGTGACACATGCCCTGCTGCAGGGAACAGTATCTTATTGTCAGTTAAATTGTAGCTAATAATGCAAATGTTCTATAATAAACATTTTAATGGTTCTTCTTTGGCATGTGAGGAAGGCAGAGTGATCATATAAATTTAATCCAACCTTTTTCTTACAGGATTTCTGTTATTTGGATGACACATTTCACTGCATTTAAAAGCTAAAGAAGAAATTTCTTTTCCTGCCCGCTGGTTTATTGTATGATGTTCTTTCTTCTTCTTCCCATGCAGAAAGCACTGAAGAACACAGAGACTTATGCAAAGCTCTTTCCTTAATTAAAGATATGATTGCAGCTGTGGATCTGAAAGTCAGCGAGTATGAGAAAAATCAAAAATGGCATGAGATTCTAAACAAGATTGAAAACAAAACATACACGAAGCTCAAAAATGGCCACGTGTTCCGAAAGCAGGCACTGATCAGTAAAGAAAGGACACTGTTACATGATGGCCTTGTTTACTGGAAAACTGCTACCGGTCGTTTTAAAGGTACAGTGGCTCCGACTGAGCCAATTCTTCTCTTCTCACACATCTGATCCATTCATCAGAAGACAGGCTTTTTAAAACAAGAAGGTCAAAGCTGCAAGCAGACACAGACAGACCCTTGATGTTTCAGGTGGAAGTTTCAGTTGTGAAGTTTAACAGGCAATGTGACCAGTGATACAAATCTTTGAAGGGAGTTTGCTGCTCTGAGCCAAAACCTTCCTATGTACGAACCTGCAAGTGTGCTGTCTAAATCAAAGGCACTGAGAGTTTTGCTAATCGTTGGCACAGAAATATTAGTCTGGCAAGTGTGGTGTGTTGAAAGCAAAGCAGTCCACCTACACAGCCAGGGTCTGTTGTGTGCCAAGTCAGCCTGGGACTGTCAGGCCGGGAAGAGAGAAGAAAACACTCTTCCCGAGTGAATGTCACCTTTGTTGTTGCATTAGGTAACACATCCGCATACATGCTGGCACTGGTATAAGCTCTTTCTTGGTGCTGCTGTTCACTAAGGGGTATTAACTGGACTCTGTTAATCTGGTTGGAGTCTAAAACAGTTTATTTGAATTGTTAAGAACCAATCGTGTAGCTGGTACCTTGCCTGACTCAGGATTTTTTAACCTGGTGACTCAGTAGAGTCACCTGTAGAGTTTAAAAATTGAATTCTGCTCGTCTCCTCCCTAATATTCTGATTTTATTGGTCGTGGGATCAAGGGGATCAAGCCTGAGACTCCAGGACGTTTGAAAGCTCTCTAGGGAAGTTGGTTCTGTAGCCAGGTCTTAGAACCACAGGTCTGCTTTTCTCCTTCAGTTTTTTTCTAACACTTCATCATAATAACTTCCTCAGGTAAGCAATGAGAAGAAGTTATTAAATTCTAGTGTAGTAGCTCATTGCTCACTGGAGTATGATCCAGTTTCAATGGAAATTCAACTAATAGCTGAACCAAATTTACTGATCAACAGTTTACAATGTTGTGTTGAAAAAAAATCTTAACTACAACCCCCAGATTCTAATACATTTGGTCCATTTAGTAGAATGAGTAGTTTGGTAGCTTTGGATTGGCCTGTGCGCTGGGGGAATGAAGATGGTTCTTGTAAACCATGTCTCAAACCTTGTTTCATAATGAGACTCAATGTTAGTTTTATTAAAGTTAGTTAGTTTTATGAAATGGTATTTAGACTGCAAATGTGAAATTTGGGTATTTAGTGAAGTCATCTGGGCTGTGGTTTGCATCACTAACACTGGGAATGTGTTTTCTTTGAAGATATCCTAGCTCTGCTTCTAACTGACCTGCTGCTCTTTTTACAAGAAAAAGACCAGAAATACATCTTTGCAGCTGTTGTAAGTATATGATCACATGATGCATTTTTTAAATAATAGATTTAATCTTATATTTCCCTGAAAACTTCCTGAGATTCCTAGAAACTAAAATGGTCACTGGCAAGAACATGGACCTAGGATATTACCAGTGTTGTTAGTGATTTTATAGCTCACTCAGCGTGATCATCACCGGTCATCAAAGTGTTTTGATACTGGATGAGAGCAAGCATTGCTCTGAGCCCTCGTGGGCTTCATGACTGGCTATCTTAGACTTTCCTTTAGTTCCCTTTCCTCATCCCCTTCTCTCAGATTTAACAACTAAAATGCTAATGCAAGGCACCATTTCCATCAGCTTACCCTCTCTGTTCCTGTTGGATGGTGCACTTGTAGCTCTTACCGACCCCTCTCATAACTTTCATGGTGATCTTCTACCTAACAAGAGAATGCCATCCTGGTATCAGAAGACTTTTATTTCTATGATAGTAACTTATGATGGCTAAGGTTGTTCATGTAACACTTGACTTTGTAATATCTCGATTAGTCTTGTCAATGCACAGTTAGAGTAGTACAAACCAGTATTTTGTACTATTTCTTATGCAGCATTTGTGTGGTCCAAAATAGTGTGAAGACAGAATGTATCGGTTCACTCCTTGTTAGCTTATGGAGCAGCAGGCCCTGATGCAAGGCACAGTCCTAATCTGGAAGTTACTGCTGGCTCTGTAAAGTTGAAGGGTTTACTATCCCCTGAGTGATAGGCTATTTAGGTGCATGAGGAAATAGCGTCAATTCCATCTGGCTGCCGAAAGTTAAAAATTTATTGAAGTTTCTGTTTTGCTGCTCAGATAAAACAAAGCATATCAGCCCAGCAATAGGGTTCTGGGGGAAGAGGCGAAGGCAGTGTCTTCTCTGCCTCTCTAACTTGGTAGGTAGGCCCAAGAGGCTTCTTCATCCTGTTCAGCCACTGCCTCATATTTGCACAGTGGCACAAGTTGTATAAAGGTCAAAGCCTGCGTTACCGAACTATAGCAGAAAATCTAAGCCTAAGCATGTCTTTATGTTCTTGATCCATTCACACCACATTTCCTACAAATTGCATGAAAACTTCCTGATTTGCCTTTCAATGCTGTTATTTATGACACCTTGAAAGAACAGAGAAAAAAGGGGAAAGGTAGGAGCCCTTTTGTTTAACCTGGGAAATGGTGAGGGTCAGGTTGGAGTGGAAACATTCATATATCTTTATAGGAACAAAGATTTCTTCAAAATCAGAGACCTGGAGGGAAGCAAATCCTGCTTCTTGGGTGGCATCACAAGCTAAGTGACCTGCAAATTGCTCAGGAACTAGATGCAACATCAAGATACTATCTTGCTTTCTAGGAAAGTGTAGTATATAGGTCCAGATCCAGCTGTGATTCTCAACTTCCTGTATGCCTTGAAATAGCCATCTGTCCCTCTTATCTCTTATGACCCTTGCAGAGTTATCTGTATCACCCTGAGACCACACTTTCTTTTAAGTGGGAGGTAAAGAATGAACTCTGCCAAATATCAGAATGAAGCCACTACAGCTTACCTCTTCTTGGTAGAGTGTATTTGGTCATAGACAATAGTGAAATGTTGCAGATTTTGTTTCTGGAACATGTTAGCCTGACACGTGGCTGTATTCCTAAAGGTGATGTTAGGGATGTTAAGGAACAAAAGAAAGAGCACTACCTTATCCTTAAAGAGTCAAAGGTACTGTGTTGCTGGATCGTGTGCTCTGTGTCTGTGTTACCAGAGGTGAACGTCATAGGGAACTGAGGTCATTAGCTAAGGCTATATAAGTATCTGTGTCTCTAGTTCTCACTCTAGCTTTTATAGAAAGTTTTGCTCACACTAGGACTGATGATGAGATTCTCCATTCTTCATGTCCTTTAGAATAATTCCCTTTACTGAATATTTATCCTGTTACATGTCCTAGAACATACGACGAATTTGTTTTTGTGAGTACATATTTGTAGTACATAATTAAGTTCATTGTGGGAACTGCCATGTGAGCATAACACACCTTAATTCTTCTATCCTCTTTCTCTCCCCGCCTTTCTCCTTCCCTCCATCTCTCTGTCCCCTTCCCTTTCATGGAAGTTCTCCCCTGATGACTGGAAATCGTTAGAAAATAAGCATCTGAAAGTAGCAGAATAGAGTTGGGTCTTTACAAGAGTTTTTTGGGGGGTGGGGACTCATCTGGAAATAGGGCATGGGATCCAAAGCTACAAAATTCATAGGAAAAATTAGGTATGTTCACCAAGTCCTGGAATGCTGAGTCTACAAAGAATCTCTTCAATACTAAGAAAGACAACTAAGAAATTAACTAAGAGGACAAAGTAAATGTGTAGATCTGCAAGGTCAAGTTCAAAACAGGAAGCAAACCGCAGATATTTTCATCACAAAGGGAATCAGCCGAAAATGGATAGGAAAGATTAAGGACAGCAGCTTCTTTCTCTCTTCCACCACAACAGAGCTCTTCAGCTTCAAATGCCAGTAGGGACTGGGCAGAAGCATAAAGGGTGCATACCCAGCTGGAGTCAGTGTCAGACAACAGATGTTGAGGGGGCTTATAGTCAAGCAGTGAATCCATGTCGTGATTCAAAGAGGACAGCAATTTCTTTGCTCTATCGATGGTGTTTTTATATGACAGTATGGGCCCAGGATAGCCAATCTTCTGTTTTTTTCCAAGGCACTCAGCAACTTAGAAATTATTAAAAGATCCATACTGCCAGTTTTTAAATGTTGGTAATTTACTTTGTAAAAAAATTAGTTTTTAAGTGATATGGCACAAGCAGAACTTGCAGGCTGAGTTAGGCCTTTGCGCCTCCAATGTTTGGTGTCGCCAAATTTGAGTGCCTGTTGCCTGCTGATGTTCAAGGGTGCAGAGTATGAATAATGATGAGCCAGGTGCCTCCTGGTTTGATCATGATTTAGTGAATGCTATTTTCTACTCCTTAATTTGTTCTTCAGTTTTGAGAGATCTTACCGTGCCTCTCCCCTCCTCCCCAACACTATCCACCATATTCAGATAATTTCACTATCTTTCATATCTTAATTCAAACCCACTCTGTGTTTTACATACAGAGGGTATTTACCTTGTGAGCTGGAGAAGCTGAAATGTTGCAGCTACACTGAAACAAGGCAAGCAGAAAACGTCTTGGAGAATAGATCCATTATAGGACAGGGCCATTCACAATGCCCTGAAGACCTCTATTATTCTGAGTGTGATATTCCAGAAGGTTTGCCACCAAGCTGCTTTTGTTTCCACTTTCAGTGGCACAGTATGGAATGGGGTAGACCAGTAGTCTGTCCCCTCATGATGGCTATTTTTTCATATCACTCTAAGAAACTAGGAACCATAATGAAGGTATTTCTGGTCCATCCTGGCTCATAGCTTCAGAATGGCACAGCTGTGTAATGCTGGGCAGACAGTCAAGCAAGGAGTCAGTGATAGGAAACAGAGTGCCATGTTCTGGATAAAGGCGTCACTCTGTCCTTCAGGGAGAAACAAAACCACACTCTGCAGCTGGTTCTGTAAACAGTGGTGGAAACCACAAACCAAGGCAGATTCCTTATCTTTACCCCCCACACTGCTCATTCTGTAGCAGTTCTTGTGGTCGTTCTTTCAAGAACAGCTCCACGTCTGGAGCAGTGTTGTGAGTCCTCATCCTTCTGCTTACAAGGGGCACTGAAACGCCGTAGTAAATATTAATGATAAACAAGGTGGTTTAATCACAGTGTGGACACTAAATTTTAGACTTTCTCCCTGTTTCTCTTGGGAGAGGGGATTGTGGTAAATCTAGCTCCACATTACTGAGAATCTACTCTGCAGGACAATGGGCTCGGTGCACAGAGATGAATTAGACTCATTCCTGCCCATGGGCTCCTCTGGTTGGTGAGAAGAGCTGCCTGTCAGTAGCACTGTAGTTCTGTTGCTGAGGTCTGCAGGCTGACTGCAGAAGTGTGGGTTATATCCAGAGAATCTCGGGTCTTTCCCCTTCATTCTTACTTTTTGACTTACAGTCCGCCTCCTTAATTTCTGGAGTTCTGTTTTCATGACTGAATTGAAACTGAATTTCTATAAATATTCAAATTCAATAGACTTTTTATATCTTTCATCCTTTCACCTTCTTTATCAGACTATTTTCTTGTCAAGTTCACCTAGAAGAATACCTTTTTCTTTGACCACAACCTTTTGATGTTTTTTTCCTATCTCTCTGGGTTTTCTGTCTTTTTAAAAGCAATTCTATTTTTTTAAAATAATTTTTTATTAAAAAATATGTATATAAAAGGGGAGATTAAGATGAAAAGAGGACATAACAACACATGTCAGACAGCACAATTTAAGCAACATAGTATTTCACCACAGGGTAACTTGACATAACAGTAGTTACCATAGTGTCTCTTTCCTTAAAATATTTGAGTATACCTTCATATACTATAGTATCAAGCATAACAAGACAGTGTAAAACCATTCAAGAGGGTAAAAGTATTACAGGGTATTTAGAACCAACTAACAGAAAATGAACAATGGTTTCTATGTTATCTCCTTGTCTATAAAAATTTTTGTTTATACTATCACATATAATAAAATCCAGTAAGATACAACATGATAAAACCGATGGGGACAGAAGAACAAACGCTTGATGGAACTTCAAAACAAGCTGATATTAAATCAGTACTAGCTATTATAATGTCTTGTTTTCTTCAGAATAACTGTTCATACCATCACAGACAATAAAATCAAACACCCCAGAATAAAACCATTCCAATTAATGAATGAAAACATTATAAGGCTTCAGAACAATATAATGAGGAATCCTGATTACCACATACTTTTATTTATTCTTACCATTTCTTACACTAGGGAAACTATTCGGTATTTATACATGTGAGTTTGATTTATTTCACTTATGAGTATGGTCTCAAGCTGTGCCCATTTATTTATAAATATCTCAATGTGATCATTCTTTATAGCTGAGTAGTACTCCATTGTATAAAAATACCACAACTTTTTTTTAATCCAATCCTCAGTTGATGGACACTTAGGTTGTTTCCAAGACCTGGATATTACAAATTGTGTTGCTATAAATATGGGTGCACATATATCACTGTGGTATGATGTTTTCAGTTCTTCTGGGAATATGCCTAGAAGTGGAATAGCTGGGTCAAATGGGACTCCCAATCCCAGCTTTTTGAGAAATCTCCAAACTGACCTCCACAATGGTTGCAACCAGTCTACACTCCCACCAACAGTGCAGGAGACTTCATTTTTCCCCACAGCCTCTCCAGCATTTGTTGTTGGTGGTTTTCTTGATCCTGGCCATTCTTTCAGGAGTGAGATGGAATCTCAGTGTGGTTTTAATTCGCATTTCTCTAATGAGTAATGATGATGAACACTTTTTCATGTATTTATTTGCCATTTGTATATCTTCATCTGAGAACTGTGTATTCATCTCAGATGCCCATTTTTGGATAAAAGCAATTCTCTTAAGCCGCTATTTCTAAGGACCCACATTCCCCTTAATCCCATCTTTCTATCCTTTCTTCACTCGGCACTCTCTGATGGAGATTTTAGCAACTTCTGCAGTTCTTTTGAAAAAGTCCAACATGAAGCATGGTGGACCCTCAAGTTATGAGTGGTCTGCACTACAAACAACTTGGTTCACAACCGGAACTTCAGGGTTAATTTAGGACTAAAGTCTTGAGTTATGACCTGAAAACCGGCCACTTATGCTTCCAGATAGTCTCAGATATAGATGTTACCCTTAAGGCATTCTGGAAGGACTATTACACATCCTTTCCTGTATGGGGTTCATTGAGAAATCATGGGCCAATATCTCTGAGGTCCGACTGTGTATAGGAGAGAGATTTTGAAGGCTGTGCAGAGGAACCTGAGTCTTCGCTTGACAACCTGAGTTACAGCCAGCTCTCCGAATGCACTGAGTTCCTGCGTCAAGGGTCCACTGTAATGATTTCATTACTTGGCTCATGGGTTGGGGTAACCCACTTTAGAGGATGCTGCTTCACCTGCATGTTTTCGTCTTCTCCATAGGATCAGAAGCCATCAGTTATTTCCCTTCAGAAGCTCATTGCCAGAGAAGTCGCTAACGAGGAGAGAGGAATGTTTCTGATCAGTGCTTCATCTGCTGGTCCTGAGATGTATGAAATCCACACCAACTCCAAGGAGGAGCGGAATAACTGGATGAGGCAGATCCAGCAGGCTGTAGAAAGGTAACTCTTTTGCTGCTGGGAGTCCATGGCATGGATGTGTTCGGCTGGAAATATTCTAACCACATCTCCCCTGTGTGAAATATTGCCTCAGCCAGGGTGCTCTGCTCCCCGCCCCTGCCCCTGCCCCTGCCTGCCTGCAGGAGCCCCGCACCTATGCCTCTACCCTCCGCTCAGCTTCTCGCATGCAACGCCCTCCCCTCCCCACTGCCTGGACCTTTGCTGCAGCTCCTGCCTCCCCTGTTCCATGAAGACCTCTTCAGTCCAAGTGACCTCTTCTTTATCCTCAGTGCTTTGCCATCTGCTCCCTAAGGCGTCTGTTTGGTGCTTGGCATACACAACCTTGTTGCTACTATCTTCATGCATACATGTACATGAGTGCTTATGTCATTAGACTGGAAGCTCTTTGAGGGCAGGGACTAGGGCATATGTTGTCCTAGGTGTCAAATCCTGAGAAATCATTTAATAAATGTTTAAGTCAGTTCATTCCTCATTCCCTGTGCAAGGACAGTTTTTGTGAGGGGTGCAAGAGAAACTGGGATCATTCTTAAGGTGATTTGATGAGCTGGATCTGGATCCTGTACGGAGTTCTTCCTGCTCCATTGCATTCCACTCAGTATGCTGCCTTGTTCCCATCCCTTAACCCTTCTATCCCTCTTCCATTAAGAATAGAAGTACCCAAATGTAAACAGCAAGAATTATGACCTTAGTTGTGCCAGGATGGATTGTGTGTGTGTGTGTGTGTGTGTGTGTGTGTGTGTGTGTGTGTGGGTGTGTGCATGCGCAGGTGTGCATACATACAGGTGTTTGCTGGAATGTTCGAGTCATCCTATACTGCTGACTTTGAGAGTCCTGTCATGTATATTATGGAAAATCTCTTGTATTCTCCGGGAGATCCTTCTCATGGCCAAGCCAGAGGGCATGATGGTTCTCTTCATGCTGAATTTCTCACCTAATGAATAATTCTATTACCAAATTGCCCTATTTTTTAACGAGCCTGAAGACACTTGAGTTGAGTTTCTGTCCTGTCTCGATTGCTGTCTTTTAAAGTTGCCCAGAAGAAGAAGGGGGAAGGACAAGTGAGTCTGATGAGGAGAGGCGGAAAGCCGAAGCCAGAGTGGCCAGAATTCAGCAGTGTCAAGGTACAGTGTGCCCTGTCCTCCAACCACCCCCCACTCCAGGCTGTGCTGTCCCTCTGGGGTTTAGGAAAGCCCTGGTTTCATGCAGGGAAGGTCTTCACTGAGTGATTGTGGGTACCCAAGGCCCAGCCTGGTCACCCTCCAGAGAAAATCCTGACCCTTGGCCACAGTAGTAGGCAGGCTTGTGCACAGGAGCATGGGGATTGGTGGCTGATGGCTTAATTTAATTTTAGGTCCCAGCCCTGTCTGCTCACAGTTGTGTGATCAGACAGGGAACAGTAGGTCTGGCCACTGAGTGCAAATCTTTGCAGTAAGGAAATAAATTTAGCTCTATTTCCCTTTCTGGCTTGACGTTAGACTTAGTTGGAGAGCTTGTTACTGATGCCCAGGCCCCTCACCCATCCGAGTCAGAATCTACAAAATGTGGGCTGTGGATCTGAGTGTTTTAAACACTCCCTATGTGATTCTTATGAGTGCAGAGGCTGCAGGTCCCTGGAGTCCTTGCTGGTTAAGGTCACTGAACTTTAAGAATTCTCTAACATGTTGTAATATGAAGCTGGAGGTGGTCAAAGAAAGTAGGTGTTTAGAAACAAAAACAGAAGCCAGTGTGTTTGGTTTTAACCAAGACTGGCTGAAGCCTGAGGAGTTTTAGGCCTTTGCTTTGTTTTCCCTGTGAGCTTTCACTTATTATGGACAGGACCATCTCAATTTTCATTCCTGAACTGGGTGTTCAGTCTTAATAGGAACCAGCCTGCATCAGTGAGGCACAGCTTTGCCAGGTGTCCTGGAATGAGGGGAATGGGAAAGAAAATGAGCATTCATGGAGTGTGGTGGAGGCGGGAGAGTTGCCCGTCCCTTGTTGGAGGTGTGGGCGCTACGTGGAAGAGTCAGGATGTGAACCAGCATCTGCTCTGCCCAATCACATGAGCTTCTCCCTGAGAGCGGGCAGCTTGCTACATGGTGGCAGCTTTCTCTCCTTTCTCTGGGATGTGCATATCAATTGTTGTATTCAGAGGAGTGATAACCTTCTATGCTACACACTGTTCCTTAGAAATACTCAGTAGCCAAGACCAGCAGATCTGCACATATCTGGAGGAAAAGCTGCATATCTATGCTGAACTTGGGGAACTGAGTGGCTTTGAGGATGTCCACCTGGAGCCCCACCTTCTCATTAAGCCAGACCCAGGGGAGCCTCCCCAGGCCTCCTCCTTACTGGCAGCAGCTCTGAAAGAAGGTGAGTTGCTTTGGAAGGGATGCAATTTGACCACTTTGGGAAATATTTATCAAGTGCCTACCGTGTGCCATGCATCGGGGTCTCTGTGTTGAGGATATAGCAGCACAAGATAGGGTCCCTACTTTCCTACAACTTATGTTCTAGAAACAATATGGAAAGACATAAATATGTCAGGTTGTATCAAGAGCTATGAAGAAGGATAAGCAGGGTAAGGTGGTGGAGGGTGACAGAGTTGGGGTGGCCCTGTTGCAGACAGGATGACACAGTGATACGTAAGCAGGCATGAATGAAGTGAGATGACCAAGAGTTGCCCTGGGAAAGAGTGTGCCAGACACAGGAGGTGGCAGGTTCAAAGGCCTTAAGGCCAGCGAGTGCCAGGCTTGCTTGGAAAATTGCAAGGTGGGCAGTGCAGAGACAGGGAGGGTTGGAAGGTAAGGAGGGGCAGGAAATGAGTTAGCAGTTAACCAACTCTCAGGTTTCGTGAAGCCAAGAAAGGGCTTCCATTTCATCGCAGGTGAGAAAGAAAGCATCATGGATCTTCAGTGCAGGGGAGACCTTACTCTCTGACTGCAGAGTGGAGAACAGGTCCTGAGGTGACAAAGTACAGATCTCCATAGTGACAGAGTCCAGGCAGTACCTGTGGAAAGTGGCAGCCAAGCTCGGAAAGGACCTTTGGAGGAAAAACAATTGAGGGGACAAGAGGTTGTGGTAGTGGAAGGACACCGTAGAACTCAAATTACCGAGGAATTGGCAGGGGTGAGCTGGGGTGTGGGATTGTGCAGGGAGGCAGGTGAGTAGTGGGGACCATAAGTGGGGGCGATGGACCAGGTGACAGCAGCAGGAGGCTGATGGGATAGATGAAGACAGAAGTGACATTGGTGATGGAGGAAACAGGGTAGCCACTACCTGAGTGAGGGGGGTGCAAATGTTTTGCCCAAGGCTGAAAAATTGGACTCCGCACACACCTCCCCACCCACTTTTGTGAATGAGTTTTGTAGGAGCACAGCCCCACCTGCTCCCGGGGTTGTGTCTGGGGGCTCCTTCCCAGCACAGCAGAGATGAACAGCGCTGAGTCCACATGGCTCAGAAAGCCTGCAGTATTAACTGCCTGCTGTTTTGCAGAAACTGGGCACTGCTTTAGCAGCTCAGAGCATTTGTTATGGGAGAGAATGTAGAAATGTTGGTCTGTTACCTTTCCTTCACAGTGGAGGAAGGCGGGTCTTCGGAAGGGCGTGGGATGTTTGCAGAGGGGACACCGACAACCACTTGTTCACCGTTCATTTAGTGTATTCACTAGGGAAGTGACAATGTTTTCATAAATCTCCCCTTTTTAGTTCTCAGAAGCCTAGGCCCAGAGCAGAAGCAGTGTTCAATGAGTATCTTATGAATTGAATGGTTGCAAAGAGTGTTTTAGAAATGTGCATAAGGGCCTCATGATTCTATTTATCCACATTTGAGTTGAAACCCTTTTATTATAAACAAAGACTTCGTCTTCTTGGTGTGATGTTTCCTGAGCAGTCGTGAGCCCAGGATTAGAATGCGTATCTCATTCTTTGGAGAATTTGACCCATGTCTAGGAAAGCTGAATCCTGTATTATTAAAGGCAAGCTTGGAGCAATGCTATTCTTGAGGTAATATTTCTGAAAACGGCTTTAAAAATCGTATTGCCTGTTAGCATAATTGTATTAGTGGAAGTATAGGACTTCTTTAAGCACACTAATTTACTGAGAGTTGCATTTGAGTTACAATGGGCTTTTACTTTGTTATTGCAATAATACTATATTGCAAAATGATGCCGAAGGGTTGGTTTTGATTGCAGATACTCGCACATTTTCTGTACAAGGCCAAGTTTTCTCAGGCCATGCCGCCTCAGAGAGCACCCATGGGAGCAAGGTTTTAAAAGCAGAAAACCAACATTTAGCTCCTGGGCCGTATAACAACAGGCACCCGCCAGTGCAATTTGTCAAATACACATATATGCGTTCCTTAAATTGATGTATTTTTTCTGCTCCTTAGCGGAGAGTCTGCATGTTGCAGTGAGGGCCTCGCAGCTGCACGATGTGAGTCACTCATCCCAGGACAGCGGCACAGAGTCTGTCTCCAGGGACGCACTTGGTTCCGACGATGTCCCAGGCCCGCCTGCTGCCTGTAAGTGAAAACGCAGCCCTTGCCCACAGCTCCTGGAGCCTGGCATGGTCACATAAATGAAAGCAGTGGCACTGTTGTTACTGGGGAGAGACTAAACGTATTTTTTTTAAATTAGAGAAAACTGAGAAGAGCAGGTGCCGAAAGTATAAATAACATAGTGCGTTCCTGTAGTAATGGTGTGGAGTCCCCAGGGTAAGGCTCAGGGCCGTGGTTCTCTGGTTCTGTCTCTCAGTTTTTCACTGCTTCTTCCCCAAACCTTTCTCTGCCTTGTTTTGCATATGATGCATTGAACACAATTTTGAAAGGGCCTTTAAACATTATTTGGTTTTTTAGAGAAGGGTTCCTACAATCTGTTAGAGAACAAACCCTTAAACTTAATCACATGAGCACTGACTGAGAAAAATACAACTCAGAAAACTAGAATCAGCCCCCCCCCCCTTGCCTCACAAGGTTTGGCTGTACAACCAAAGGCAGAATTACCAAGGTTTAGATATGTGTTATCATATACTTTATTGCGGGTCAAAACTTATATTAAAACACTATTTCAATACATTTTAAATACAGAAAGACTAGAGAATTGGTTCAGGTAATTTCTTGGAACCTAATTATACTATTATATGTATAGTATTATGCAAAAAAGGGTTCTAAGATAATAATGAGCATATTTTTCTCATGGAGCAGTGATAAAATCCTTACTTCTAAAAGGTCCTACCTCTATGTATATTATAAAACATCTTAGGGGCCGGGATTTAGCTCAGCAGCAGAAGCACCTGCCTTGCAAGTGTGCAGTCATGAGTTTGATCCCTGGTACCCATGGGGGGGAGGGGAGAACTTGAGAAGCTAGAGTTTGGAGGATACATGATTTTAGCATTTCTTTGGTCTATATATGGTATAGTTTTAAAATTCTATACATTTCTTATAAGCAGCAGTAATGATTTTCCCCTCTCCAATTCTGCTTTATCTAATCTGGGGTTTCTATTTTCAGAATGCACACATATGCTTTCCATTTCAGCACAGGCTGGATTCATCAGGGGAATCGTGCCCTGGGTGATTTCCCTTTACAAGAAGAACTTCGTTATGCCATTGAGGAAGTTTTGTCTAAAAATACACATAGGGCTCCTGCATTCTGCCTCACCCCGAGGACAGCTGGACAGGCCCTGCTCAGCATGCAGCTGCTCAGAGCACGGCCACCTCCCCTCGGGTCCTCCTCCATCCCGGAGCAGAGGCACTGGGAGGGTCCTGTCCCCTACAGGCCTCTGTCCTGGGCTGGATGGGAACGTGGTACCCCAAAAGGCTGATTTTCTTTGTAAAGTTGCTCAGGGCACAGATAATCACTGCATGAAGACCTGTGACTAGTGGGTCTGTTCTGTGACTGGCTTTAAGGGCTAGGCCCTTCCCTGTGAAACCCAAGTCAGACTGAGTGAGTCAGCCGTGCGGAGCCCTGCTTCCAGTCCTCAGCACACCTCACCACGAGGCTGCGTGCAGTCCGGCTTTGTGATGCTTGGTCTGCTGGAGACCCTCTCACCCACTCTGGAGTGGGCCATGGGAGAGATCTGGCTTCAGGTTCTCCTGCCCTAGTGTGGTTCATGCTTGGCCTCTGCCCATATCCAATTGTTTCCATTGTTATGAAGCATGGGAGATGAGAGAGCAGCTAATTTTGGCATCTTTTGTAAGAGTTAGGAATGGTATCAAAAGTGGACTCGCTTTTTAAGTGACAGAAAAATCTCTATGGATTGTCCCTTTATTATCAGTGAGTGGCATGGACACAGTGATCCTGACTTTTAGCTTGTGTCACTCGAAGCAGTTTCTGCCTCAACAAAATACTCCCTTGTTTTAGAAGAGGCCTTTAGAGTTCTAGACAACTCTCATTTTCCAAAGATCCAAGTATTTCTGTTCCTTTAAACAAAGAAAAACCATTCCCTTCATTAGAAATAAGGTGTCAAGATGATGCTGAATCATTGATAACTTTATCAGTTTAGGAAGTGACTGCCTCCCTCCTGAGGGTCCTGAATGGAAAGTGAGCCCGGGCTGTGAGAAGTCTAGTTCTCCTCAGGGCGAGGTGGCCTGCTGGCAGCGTCCCCTAGGTCCACGAGGTCAGTAAGTCAGCCAGTTCCTGCCAGCAGAGAGTTAGTGGGTGAAGTGCAATTTGCATTTGATACTGAAGGATGTTTCTGGCTCATTTCTGTGCTTTCATAGTTTAAATATGCAGTATTTACAGGCTTTATGAATGCACAGCATGTGTAAGGCAGGTGAGACGAGACACGGCTGGTAGTGAGGAGGCGGTGGGGCGGGTGCTCAGTCTGCGTGAGTCTGAAACCTGAAGTATCAGCCCCTCGCAGCCTCCTCAGAGCGACGTGTCCGTCCTGTCTTCCTCCTAACCGTATTAAGTGGCTGCTTCTCCCACAGCTCACAGTACCCACCGGGAGAGCGTGGCATGGACCCGGCTCTGCCGGCAGACCCTGGGTTTTGCACAGCCATGCCTGTCTTACATGCACCCTCACCGTGGGGCTCTGTCCTGTGAAGTGGGAGGGAGATGTAGAATGTAGCCTCTGTGCACCGTGAGCAGTCGTGAAGGTCTGGGCGTAGGGAAGAGGCAGACGGAAAGACTGGGTGTTCGCTTGTACCACTTCTCAGTGTGGCGTGTGCGAGTGTGCAAGCTCCATGCGGGCAGGCACGGGAGACCTGGCGCTCCTTGAAGACTCATATAGGACGGCTCAGCGTGTTCTGCCAGGTGTGCATCGGCTGTGTACGGAGGGGCGCAGCTGGCTGCCCCATGTCTCATACTGTCCTTTTTGTCCCTGTCTCGATGGTGTGCATCCAGCACCAGTCACAGAATGGACAGAAGGAAGCGGCTGCTGGGATGTGGACCCCGGGATCCAGAGCGCGCTGCCTGACTTGGCAGGCTCCGAGGCAGGGGAGAAGGTACAGTGGACCACTTGTTAGAATAGCGCCAGGTCCTGCCTTGTCCCTGGCATGAGGACACTGAGAGTGCTTTCCTGAACTGTCCTTGACTTCTTTCAGTATTTACATTTCAGCTTCCTAACGTTTCTCCTTTACGTGTCCTTGTTTTTCCTATGTGGTACAGGTATGAAAAAAACCACTGGAAAGCTATTTTAAAAAAAAAAAGGTTGAAACTCTTATGTGTCCATGTTTGTCTGGCTGCCTGTCTTCTGAGCTTTGCCGTCCCCACCTCAGAGCCTCTCTGCCTGCCCAGCCTGCCCAGCGCCTCTGCGGCGAGGAGCCCTGGCGTCAGGATCTTGCACTGCCGTGCAGCATTAGCACAGCGGAAATTGTTTCGACTCTGGGACACCCTGCTCCTCCTTCTTAGCCTCCTACTCTTTTCCCATCGTTTTCCTGTCACTGCTCACATTCTTACTACTTTTGGTTGATTGCTAATGCATGAAACCATCTTTTGCGTTCAAAAGTGAGATTGTTCCAAGCGATTCTGCTTTTTCAACCTACTGTATGCAGAGCTTATACCTCTCTTTAACAATTAAATGCATGCAATTTCCTCCTAACTTTGGGTGAAATTGTCAAGTGTCATAAATAGGGAAAGAATTAAACTGCGGTTCTGGGAGGTGGTGAGTGAGCCTTTTCAGGGTCATCTGGGCTCTGAGTTCGCCTTTGTCTATCATTGAATTAGGACCATTACCAAATACTGACATGGGCCACCGTAGAAATATATATGACACAACATACATCAGATCTTCTCTTACAGATATAACATACTTGCATGTTATTTTTTTGTAAATATTACATACAACAGAGAAACCAAATCCAGTGATTAAAAACGTCCATGGAACAGACTGACTGCTGTCCTTTGGAGGTCTTCAAACTTCCTAGGCTAAAACGTGAATGTGGGAAAGCAACATTTTACTCTACTTCTTCTGATTGCAGGCTTTTTAGCATATTTATCTGAGGTTCTTCTTGCATTTTATCTTTTTTTAAGTTCAGACTTTACTTTTATTTCTAAAGATTTCAACTTCTTTGTTGTTATTAGGAAAGAAACCCATTAGGTGAGTTGCTCAGTGATAGTTTCATCTTGAAAGGAAATCTGTGGTGGACCCAGTGTCTGATAGGCAGATATGTGAGATTTGGTGACCAAGTTCTTTGAATTAATCTGTCTAGGAAATTTGGCCTTTAATGAATAAGATATTTTGAGAAGCTGAATAAACAGATATAGGAAAAATCACTTGAAATAAAATGTCTAAAAAATATACCATGGAGATTTGTCATTAGTTCCCTTAATAAGATAATACTAAAGCAAATTTCTAAAAGAATTAAAGAAAAATTAAATTTGTAGCCTACATTTCAGAAATCCTGTGTAAATCAGCAGCTGCATTTATACACTTAGACCACCAGGTGGCAGACGAACACCACTTAAAAAGATAATGTGCACATCTTGCCTTGTATTAAAATGTACTGGTTCATGGTACAAGTAACTTACATATAGCACGATCCAACTCACCGCTACATGTCTAATTTTTATGGAGTATAAAAATTAATACCAGATGGTCTCATCGCAAATGCAAACACATATTGACAGGCAAGGACAAAATCAGAAGAAAATTGAGCACTGTAAAAACTCACTGCAGGACAGGGGTTCTTAGTCCTGATGTATTTACCGGATTGGACACAGATCTAATGCTTTTAACTTTTATCTCCTTTTCCAGCCTTTTTCACTTCTCTATCACGGGATCTTCTTAGGAATGAAATATTTTATTGTGGCAGAAGAAGGAAAGTGAAAGCTAGGTAGCTCATTGTCAGCCTGAACTAGTTGCATTTAACCTAAGTTGCAAGTTGCCTGAGAACATTACCATGGCTGACTGCTTTTTACAGCTTAGAATGAGACCTGCTCAGACAAAAGCAAGCAGCATAATAGAGGCTACAGACATGGAGGACTGGGGATGTGATATTGTCCCATAGCATACAACGTGGAGTTTATAGTGAGTGATCAGTACTTACTTACTGGTCACCCACTATAAGACTCAAACTATTGCTGCTAGATTCAAACTGTTGTTCATTTGTGAAGTGTCCACTATATCCCAGGCACCCCTTAGTTTTGCAGATATAATACTGAGTACATAGATAAAGTCTTACTACCTGTTACCTTACATCAGAGCGAGAGGTAACAAACAATATATGGCTAAACAAATGTTTAATTCAATTCTGGGAACTGGAAACCCTCAGAATTCACTTAATGCGTGCATTGGGAGAGATAAAATACTAAGAACAGACCTGTCCTCAAAGAGTTGCTGGACCCTCTGGCCTTATCTGTGGGCTTTGCACGGTTCCGTGAACTCTAATGGAGGTAGGATCTGGGAGAGACCAGCTCAGTGACCCCTTTGGGTTGTCTCTGGGTCTGCTTTCTTTTCTCAGCCACTGGCTGTTTTGTTATCCTGAATCATGAATGCTGAGCTGGAAAGCTGGAGGCCTGGCATTTTGTTCCAAGTCTGGTCACCAGGAAACAAGGTGTTGGCCTGGCCTGGAAGATGGCCACTGCCCAGGCACGGACAGTTCTGTTGACGGGCTGGTTTGCTTGTGCTGACACCGTCGTTCAGAGTATGCACATGCACATCTTCCTGGCTTCGTCCCTCCTGGGTGAAGGGTGGCTCCCCAAGGCCTCCCTGCGTTGCTAACCCTGGGTTTGCATGAGGGCGGTTCTCCCTCCCTGCAGAACCCCACAGGCTCTATAGATGAGGTCACAGAGTTTAGGGAGAGCAAGGAGCGTATGTTGGGAATGCTGCCTTGTGGCTTTTCAGAACTTGAGTGGCCATTCATGTCCTTATGCTGTTGTGTGTTGTAGGTGGACTGTCGAGGTCTCCCAGGTCCGTCACAGTCAGAGGTGAGCGGTGCCTGCTTTAAATATATCATCGCTCTTTCTCAGTTTGTGGCTAAGGAGTGCTTTTTAAAAAAAAAAAAAAAAAAAACTGACCCATGTGATCTTATTTTTCAGATTATACAAGCTATACAGAATTTAACCCGCCTCTTATATAGCCTTCAGGTAATGACCCTCTTCTCGTCTTTGGCCTTGTGTGTGTCTCTCCCTGTGCATTTCCCTTGCATGACCCCGATTGTGCGGTGAGTGCCCTGCAGAGGTGGCGGGTGATCCGAGAAGAATGCCCATCCCCGAGAGTAATTCAGCCAGATGGGCTGAACTTCACCTGCATTTGTAAGCCCAGGGCAACACCACTGCTGCGTTGTCTTTATGTCTTCTTCTCAGAAACCGTAAAGCAGTTCGTATCTTTAAAAGCCGGTGATGACCAGGCTCTGACTTGGTGTTCACGGTGGAACTTGTAGGTGAGGGAGCCTGGTTCACGTTTTCTGGTGAAAACTTAAATTCACACCTACACTGTTTTCATTTCTGTAAGTGGCCTTCAGCCTTAAGGACAGCTGAGGCCTTCCTGCCTCTGGGTGTTAACCATCCCACGCGTGTAGGTCCCCTCTCTGCAAGGGCCCAGTGCTGAGGCCCTGAGTCTGCCCCGAGGAATTTTTATCTCCCAAGGAAAGGGGGCTAAAATTGTGCTTGCGCTAAGGATTAGCAATGTGCCTGATTCCTCAGGAGAGGCTCAAGAAAGAAGCTTCATGTACCATTTGCTGAATTTACTGATTAAATGTTTTTAACAGTACAAAAGCAGTGTCTAGGGCTGGGGGTAGCTCAGCGGCACAAGCACTTGCCTGGCAGGTACAAGGTTCTGAGTTCGATTCCCATTAACAAAAAAAAAAAGAAAGGAAAAATAGCAATGTTGATATTGTAGAAAGATTTGTGGGAAAATTTGGGAATGCAAGTAAATAAAATGACTTGTGACTCAATAGAATTACTGTTACACTGGTGTATATACCTTTACAGGTTAGATTGTTTTATATGCACTTTCAGCAACATCTAGCTTTCTGTGTCACCAGCTATTCTTGTATAAGCATGATTTTAAATGAATTTATAATATTCAAGTCAGATTCCTTGTTCTTTACATTCTTGTATTATTAAAATACAAAATGTGGATGGTCTTGTACATGAGTCCTTTTGACTATAGCTTAATGCTCCTTTTGACTTCATCTAAATGTTTCCCAGGCTGTATTACTATAAGTGGGGTGTTTTTAGGTATCTAATGAACACTGTGAAAATAATCAAATTAAACAGTCTCTTCCCTCCTCACTTTGAAAATGGATCAAGATGTCCGATTATTTTAATTTGTATTTGCTTGATTACTAGTGAGACTAAGCTCTTCTTTCATTGGTTCATCATTTGTTCACACTGCATAGTTTTTACTTTTTGAATATCAAGAGAAGATGAAGTATAAGTTTTCACCAGGAAATGCAGAGTTGTGCTGCACTCCGATTTTTTATTTATCCTTCAGCTATGCCAAAGAAGTTCTTTGTCTGATGCTCTATCATATGTCTACTCTTGCTTTATGACCACTGACCTAAGTGTAGAAACTTTCGATTATGTTGGAATTTATAAGTGTGGTCCCCTATTATTTTTCTATGTATTTACATGTACTTTCACAGAAGCTTTTGAATCACCATGTGAAATTTCTTAGCTCTTACCAAGACACTTGAAATTAAATTTTATTATTATTATGAACTGAATTAGAGATAAGTGGTGCTTTGGCTATAGTCATTTCTCCTACTTAAGAATATGGATCAGTCATCTCTTGTTTTATGTGCTGCACAAGAATTTACAGGTGTCTTCATACAGGTTATATGTACATTTACATGCATAACCTCCTCAATGGTTATTGTTGACATAAAGAAAGGTGATAGTTTTTCTATATTTATTTTGTAGCTGCCCAACTCATTAGACTTTATTTTTTATTTTAATAATTTTTTTCTTGGCTTCTTTGGAGTATTTCAGTTGGAAAGTAATGGTGTTATGACTGCTCTTCAATAATTATAGCAATTCCACTTTCTTGCTTTATTGCTTTGGCAAGAACTTCTGAAAATGTGTTAGCTGACAGTGGTGGAGACAAGTTCTGTGTGGGCCAGTTTCATGGCAATGCTTTTAATGTCTTCCACCACATGTGCTAGTCTGAGGTGGATGTGCTAAAAGATCAGCTGATCAAGTAAAACAAATGTGCTTCCTTTTAAGTGTCAAGACAGGAGGGGTGTAGTGGGAGTGTAATGCATTAACTCTTGGGGATTGAAAACCTCTAGCATCCTGGCTTTTGTTGCCTGATTAAAATACTCACTAGATCATCTCTCTTCTTTAACCCTTAAAGCAGCTCTGTGAAGATTGCAGGTTGCAAGTGACCTAAAGGACCTAATTTTTGCAACATGTTAGGTTGAAGCTACATGAGAAATATCAGCATCTGCCGTGGATTCTATTAACCCAAGATTTTGAACTGGTCAGAGGATTTGGGCTTTGAAAGATACCTGTTCATGGCAGTTATCTCTTTACAACTGAGTCTTTTATGCATGCTTGAAGTTTTCACATAGGCATGTCAGAATTAGATGAAAATGAAATTGGATCCCTGTGTTAGGAGAGAACAAGAAAAGAAATATAGACAAGGTAAAAAGGAAAAGACACAGAAATATACTAGCAAAGTAGAGTGAAGCGAGGGTGAATTGGGAAGAGCTTAAATAGTGTGATTATCTGTCCCAAATATAAATGTCAGCTTTAAGTGTAGAAATGAATATCCAGTCTTCAGATTTCACATCTGTTCTGTGGAAGAGAATAACCATATGCCAGATGTTAAGTAGGCATGAAGAATTCTTCGTGATCACACTAAGTTATTCTACTTGAATCTTTACATGAGAATTACCATGTAACATACATATGTAGTTTTGACATGCAGAATTTGAATTTTTTTGTTTTACCAAACAGTTGTCCTTTGGGCTATTAAAATTAGTAATGATGTATAGTCTTCTATATGTTTGCCAGGTCAGCAGTCCTGAGCAGTCTATTATTTTTTATATGTTAATTATTTCACATTTAGAAAGCACTGACTAGTACCTGTTGTTAGTGATAATCACTGTTTTCTATAACAACTTCTGTAAACTATTAATATTCAAGATGTTTGAAGTTACTTTTCAAATTCAAAAAATATGGAATTTATCTCAAAGACCCCCATCAATACGTTTTTTAGCCTTATCCCAAGTCAAGTGGGAATTAATCATTTTTCAACTTTCAAAAGTATACGAAATTACTGATCCAACAAAGAATTGGAAGTTAAATCCTTATATTTCCAACCTCTGTTATATGGATGGTATTAAAAATTCTCAGCAAAGAAAAATACGAATGTATTTCTAGAAGAGTAGCAGCTTCTCACTCTGAGTCAGTGTATACACATCCCCACCACGTGTCCATTTTCAGCTGTCCCTTCTATACCTCTTTGCATTTTAAATGGGAACTTTTAAAATTCAAAGCTTCCAAGGGTGGTCTAGGAGATTTTGCTTTGTTTTGTTTCTTGTGGTTTTTTTTTTTTTAGTGGCATCTTTCCAAAACTTTGGCAATGGTTTCCTGTGATACTGCCAAACTTTTCACAGGCAGATACTTCTCAAAATGTTTTTTGATCTGTTTGGTAATGTCCTCTGGGACTTAGAGTATGTATTTTCCCTTAATCATCCCAGCCTCCTGTTAGCAATCTATTAAACAAATGAATTTCAGCTTAGTTTTCCATTCATGGCCTTTATGCTATAAACGCCAAGACAGCAAGGAGGTCAGCTTTAGCCACTTATGTATCTCTTAAAAATAACATTAACTGCTATTCTCTGGCATTGTGTTATAAAAAGATCATTTACCCAAAGTCTCCAAATAGTCAACTTATTTTTATGTCTTCATGAAAGCAACATTTATAACTTCAGTAGGGTCTTTTTGGGGTCCCAAAAAAGGGTACTCTTGGGTTCCTATAGATTCTTAAGTTCCCATGAATTATTGACTGGGGAGACCTCAGGAAGAGATTGAGGTCTGGAGCAAGAATACAGTCTTGTGATTCTGTGTCCCGAGTTCTTACTCAGAATGTTAACTTAAATATTAATCAATAGCCAACAACCAATAGACTCATTTCCAAAACAAATGAGTATAATCAGCCTTCTGTAAACACCAGTCCTATGTCTGCTGATTCGATCAAGCCTGGAGAGGAAAAATAATTCAGAAATCTCCAAAAAGCAAAAGTTGATTTGCTGTTTTTCCATGTACTACACTGAATCTTTGTGAACGAAGTGATGTATAGGCAGTCTCAAGTAGTATCTAGATATACTTTAAAGTATATAAGAAGATGTGTATACTCAGCTAGTTTAATAAAGAACTTAGCATCCTTGGATTTTGGTGTCCATGAGGAGCTGGAAGCACTCCCTTTCAGATACTAAGAATAGTGGGATTGCTATTATGCTTTATTTCTTCTCTATATAAATTCCTAGGTCCTTTCACTAAGAAATACAGACACATCTATTTGAAATGCTGAAGCCTTTCTTTGGATATGTCTTGGGGAAAAGGCACAGTGTTAAGAGGAAATGGTTGTATTGTGAATTTTGAGTTTAGAAGCACTTCAACCCAAGGAGCACATGGTAGGATGCCTGACCTCATTCATTCATCCTCCTCTGCCCTGCAGGCCGCCTTGACCATCCAGGATAGCCACATCGAGATCCACAAGCTGGTGCTCCGGGAGCAGGAGAACTTGGCCCCTGGCCACTCTTTCCTGGGCACCCCCTTTCAGGACCAGGAGAAGTCCCGCAACCTAGAGAAGCAGCGGGAAGAGCTGGCCGATGTCCACAAGCTCCAGCACCAGCTGCAGCAGGAACAGAGGCGTTGGCTGCGCACCTGTGCCCAGCAGCAGCGGGAGCAGGAAGCCAAGGAAAGCTGGCTGCAGGCGCGGGAGCAGGAGTGCCAGTCTCAGGAGGAGCTGCTGCTGCGGAACCGTGGCGAGCTGGAGCATCAGCTGCAGGAGTACCAGCAGAACCTGGAGCGGCTGAGGGAGGGCCAGCGCCTGGTGGAGCAGGAGAAGGAGAGGATGCGAGTGCAGCAGGGCCTGATGGGTCCCTGGAGGCACAGTCGGCAGCGGAGCCTCCCTGCAGCCTTCCCTCCCTGTCCTTCTGGGAGCAAGGAGGTAGGCCCCAGCCCAGCATCACACCTGTAGGAGCAGGAGGCTCAGCACCACTGAGGCCCTGGTGCCATTTCTTGAGTAGGCTCTGTAGACAGTCAGAGTCTGGAACCTTTAGAAATGATGGCCAAACATCCTGACTTGAAATATGGAAAATGTTAAAAGCCTGGGTCCTAATGGGCCCTTGTGCTCTGAGACACCCTAACCTAAGGAGGAACAGGACTGAACTCTTCCAGAAAGATCAGGTGGGCTGGTCCTAGAGCCACAAGGATTGTGAGTAGGCTGAGTCCCCATTATTTTAAAGACCTTCTATTCAGGATCTGCTCTTACTGACAGAGAACACTCTCTCATATTCAATGGAACATGTGCCTTTTAGTGGGTGGATCAGGGGTTAATATATACCGTAAATGCTAAACAATGCAGACATAGCACTGCTGTGTTACAAGATAGTTCTCTCTCTGTGAACTGGATAAGGTAAATTCAGAATCCATTTGCTAGTAATTGTTGTGAGGTGTCCTGATGCATGACTGAACAGGATCAAACCTTTCAGAGTTCTGTGTTCACTTTGCACCATCTCCGGTCATGCTGCCCATTCCATTAGTTCCAAGCATTTATTTTCCTGCTCTATGTGCATTGCATGTGTGCTTATTGGTAGAGCATAAAGTTATAAAAATCCACAAGCTGCTTTTTTTTTTCTTTTTCCTTTTTATCGGTACCGGGGATCGAACTCACGACTGCCTGCTTGCAAGGCAGGCGCTTATCCCGCTGAGCTAAATCTCTAGCCCCCCACAAGATTCTTAATAAGAGATCATACTACTGTGTTGTTTCCTTTTAAATTCACTAAATGCAGTTATTGCAAATTCCTCATTTTTATATATTTTCAACTTTGTAAATTTAACATGAGTAGACATAATACTTTGATTTAAAGAGAATCTCTTTAATGGCAGGATCCTACTCATTTTAAGGAGGATTTATGCATAGTGACTTGCAGTGTTTGGTTCTAGTTCATTTAAAGGTGAGAAGGGAGAGTACATGGTAATATTCTTTTTGACCTCATTCTTACTGAATCCTGATTTGCTAGAATCTATTAGTCATAAATACTTTATGAAACTTGTGTACATTGCTGGAGAAATTATTGTACTCTTTCTGTATTTCTTTATACAGGTAATAGAACTTAATCGATCTGAGAGTTTATGTCATGAAAATTCATTCTTCATCAATGAAGCTTTAGTACAAATGCCACTTAATGCTTTCAGTAAACCAAATCCATCAGGTATCCACCAGGATGTCACCTCCTCAACACACACTCCTAACTCTGAATTGGTAAGGACTAGTGAAAGTCAAGTAGACTTCAAGATAGACAATTCGCAGCCTTCAGATGTCAACCATGAACTGTGGCCAGCTGCTGGACCCTGCCATCAGATACCTCCTCTCCGTGATAGCAACGATGATTCTTGGGAAAATGGTAATTAATGTTTTACACGTAACCTGTAGTATTTCAAAAAGAATTTGTTTCTCTGAATGTTCATTTCCTCTGTAGGACAAATCAAAGTTGGCCCTAAAGTGGGAATAAACGGGTGCTCTGAGCTGAAATTTGTAGAAATCTGAGCATTGCCTTCACTTGAAAAGATCTAGACTGGGGAGCCATGTTTGTAGGGCTTAGGGCAGTGAAAGTGAACTTACGGCACGCATGCCACAGCCAGCTGTTCATTGGCATGGAAATCTTGGAAAGGTTCACAGTCATGCGCTGAGAGAATGCAACCAACCAGCGTGCAAGACCCAGACAGAGTATTCCAGCCCATGGGCTCCATGATAAGGTCCCCTTACAAGCGAAGCAACTGGATATTTATTCCCTGCTACAGACTTTACAGTGCAGATCCAATGACTCTCAGAAACAGAAGCTATGAATAACGTTTGTGGTAGGACTTTATTGTCTATCACAGCAGTTTCCTGTCGTGTTGGTGAAATCTTCTGCACTGCTATTAAACACCGCAGATGAAACTGTTAATATCATTTGTCATTAAAAAAAGGTGTCATCTCTCCATAAGTACCTCATAATAGCACAATTTGCTAATCCCATTAAAGCATTTGCCAAATATAAAGGAAGAGAAGCTTAGGTTTCTAGCTCCACATGAATCCAAGTGATTTAAATCTATGTCTTTTATAAATTGTTTTCTGTGGGATATGAGGTAGGGAATGAGAAAAACTTGAAACCTCTCTACTGAAAAACAGATGGTATGCAATAGAATAAGCAAATGGCCAGCCACATGGGCATGACATAAATCACCACCATCACAATTTTTCAGAAACATAAAACAAGCAGTAAAATAGAGATCTTCAGAGCTGGACACAGATTTGTTTGCATGCCTAATATATATTCTTAGTTTGTCAGTTGGGGGGATAATTTTTCAGCAACAAAAACTTTTGAAGGTGTCCAGCTTCTTTCAATTAGGGAATAATGCTGACACTGTTGTGACTTGATTTATTACTGAGCCGCAAGATGTTGATTTTAGTAGTGGCTCACGCCTCACATCCCTTGGTCAGTGCTGTAACATTCTTAATTCTTATCAGCATGTAGCAGAGAATGAAATAAGTCCTTAAAGTGTCATTTTGAATGTTCTTTAAATAAAATATACAATGGAATAATTTGTAGTAAAAACAGGATCCAAGCAGAAATTTAGAAAAAGTAACCCCTTTAATATATTATCTTGCAACTTAATACCACAGAGACCACATTGTAGAATAGTTTTTCTAGGCCCACATAGCTCTGCTGTGTTGATTCATTAGTTTGCTATTTACAGGGCTTTGTGTGTTTTTGTCAGGGTGGTTTGGCATACTGGCTTCAGTATAACTCAGAAACTCAGTTTGAGTTAAACCACATTTAGCTTTTGTTTAGAAGAAGTATCTCTCTTTTGCTTTGTGTGTATCTGCCATCTTTTTCTATTGCCTTGTGCTTCAGAGTAGAAAGCTTTTAAAGATTTGGCAACACATTTGCAGTAGATTAATAAAAAAGTACTTCAGGAATAAACAGTGACTATAGGCAGAACCATTCTATCCGCATGTAAAGAGTTAGAGCCAAGAGAAGTGTAGAGAAAATGGGCTTATACTTAAGAAACTGTGCCAAGGGCACCCAGGATAGCAACAAGAGCGAAGAAATCAACTTCGGCCAAAACCTCTTAGGAGCACCCTGGTCTTCCTAAGTAGGGATTAGATCAGAAATATTCTGTGCACTGTTAACCACTGAAGTCTTGCAACTAGCTGGAAACCCTATTTATGTTTAACTTAAGAATTACAAGCAATTTCTGGAGGAAAGAAACAAAATCAGGGACTAGGAAGGGGTTAGGGAAGTGCATGAAAGTGAAATATATTTTTTTAAAGGGTGGTCAGGCCCACATAAAATTATTCAGCCTATCCCAGAGCTGTGCCAGATTTTATAAGCAGAAGCAGCACATTTGCAGCCTGTGGAGGTGGTGGGGAGCTGGGCCCCAGGGGTGTGAGCCACACTGCTCCTGTTGGGGTGAGAAGGAGCCAGCCCAGCTGGCAGAAGCAGGTCCATGGCAGGAGGCAGTCAGAATATCGATGTCCATGCTGAAGTGGGACAGCCAGCTTTCCTTTCATAATCTGCTGCTAAATTTTGGGGTTCATGGTCATCAGTGACCACTACTGTGGACCCACATGGACCACAGTATTGTGGCTCAAAACATTTGCTTATGATGTTCTGGACTGATCCTCCATTAACATAGTTAATCATGGCTTAATTAAAACTGTGCTGACTAGTTTTAGACCCTATGGTCAACTGTTTCTAGCAACACTTGGAGGAATGGTTTGCTTTCTTTCCTGGCTTGGTACCATGTAAATGGTCCCAGCTCAGATGAATGGAGATGTGAGTTTCGGGGACAGTAAGAGCGATGGGGGCAAGGGATTGTATAGAAGCAAAATTCATGAATGTGTTTAGAAGTCACCTAGGTTGGAATTTTTATTGATATTTTTCAACTAACTTCTCCAGACACTCTTTGTGCTGTGTATGTGCTCTTTGTGCTCTGACTTTGATTAGTTTTTAAATTATTTTACTGCTCACATGAACAATTGCGTGGCATCAGATTTCAGTCACTGAGCAAAGGTTTTATATGGAGAAACTGACAGGACACAACACCTCACTGCTCTGGTTCTGTTATCTCCATCTGAGAAGGGAAATTGAGATAAAGAAAAATTAAGCAATTTGAGTCACAGCTAGTAAGTGCAAAACCCAGGAATCGAACTCAAGACTGGCTCTGGCACTCATGAGCTCAATCTTTGCATTATAAGTTATTAATTTCTAGAGAGCTGGGTTGAGTTATACTTTTAAGCAAATTGGAGAAGATACAGAATAAGTCCTTTTGTAATGTCTGGCAGAATGTTCGCAATTAAGAGCCAGGCTTTTGTTTGCCTCCCATCCCAGCCTTCCTTTTAATATTACCATTTGGAAACCATTCCTGAATGTTTTGGATAGCTGCAGCCAGATCCTGTATGGGCCTGAGCATTTGAGATATCCTAAGTGCCCCTCAGCCTCACGTTCCCCACAAGGCTCATTTCCCTAAGGATATTTTGTTTCTCTAACATCTAATAACAATGCCATGTTATTTGTAAATATCTCAAGCTAGTGCTTTTTAAAGAAGTTTACTCTCGAGCTTTGGAAGTTATTTCCAAAATTCTTGGATGTTTGAATAGTAAATGCAAATTGGAATTTGATTTTATTTATAGGGGAAACAATAGTTGGTTTAAGGACTTGTTCTGATTTTCTATGAGGGACATAAGCCAAGTTCACAAAGTATTTGGATTTGTTTAAATAATAGCCTCTGTGGGACAGTTGCTATGTAATTGGCCCAATGAGATGCTCAACTGAATTACTCTTCAAGGGAAAAGGTGAAATGATTTTGTTCCTGTGACTTTTTTCCCCAACTTTCAAATTCTAGAGCTATGTGATGAATGCATCTGTTCATTTGTCGTTTGCCTTTTACTTTAGTGAAGACAGCATTTTTATGCTGTGAAAATCTGAAATCATTTGTCTTTCTTGTCATACTTCTACATTTATTTCAATACTGTATTTGCCAATTACCTAAAAGTTTTCTGCAGTGCAGTTAAAGAATTATGATTTTGCATGCATAGGATAAAATTTAAATTTAGCTACATCTTATACAGTAATCATGTAGATATCAAAGGGAAGACAATAACTTTAGATTCCAAAGGAGTCCCTCTTCTTATTCCATATTAGAATTTGGTGTCTAACAAAATATTTTCACAATTCAAAACACTGTACTCATAGTATGTCATCTTGGTAGTTTTTTTTTTTTCACAAATACTGAAAACTATGTTAAACTCTCAATGATAAGACTTTCTTTCTTTCTTTTTTGCAGAGAACATTTCCAAATTAAAAGCTATACCAGAGTTAGTATTTGCATATCAGTCTTTTAAGAAGTAAAAATATGGTAAATTCTACTGCTTTTAAAAAATACTATATCATTCATAAATTAGCACCTTATTTATGTGGAAAAGAAGGTTTGCCAATGACTTTTGGGCAGTTTCCTAGAAAATGAATTGGCTTTGGGCTCTGTAAACTTCAGCAATGCAGGTGTATTTGAGGATGGATTGTAGTCTCTAGGGCAGAGCCTTGGGACAGAGTTTTACAGGGTGGAAATGTACTGCCTGGTAGTTCCTGAGGCCCTAAGTCTGAGAGGAAAGCCATGGGACAGTTAGTGTCTTCAGAGCACCGTGCTCCTTGGCTTGTGGAGACTGTCTTCTCCTTGTGTCTGCACAGGCTTCCTCCAGGCCTGTGCGGCCGTCCTAAGCACCCTTCTTAAGAGGAAACCTGTCATAAGGCATCAGGGCCTCTGCGGATGACCTCATGTAACTTCCCGCTTTAGAAAGGGGAGCGCCAAATGCATTCTGGGGTTAGGTCTTTAATATGTGACCTTCCAGGGCACAGGTTCCTGCCCTTAACAAGGAATAAATGGATTATTTTTCTCCTTGTGATAGTTTTAGGTGTCATGAAAGACTTAATATTTTTTAATGTACAAAAGTTCAACTATACTTTACTTATATTGCCTATTTTTGCTTTGGTTAGGGCAGTTATTTGAATGTTGTTTTTTAAAGAGTTGAATAACTGTAAAATTGTGACATGGAACTCTTTAGGGTTACAGCTACAGTTACTTGTGTTATCCAACCTCTATCAATATATGGAATTTAGGACAGAAAATTTTTGTAGGCTCATTTCCAACTTGTACGCCCTAAATGAGAGACTTAAACCTGCCCTAGGCCTTGGAAATTCCAAGCTCTTTCTATGATTAAGAGGGATATTAGATACCTGTGTTTTGGACTAGATAAATGAAACCCAAACTGAGGGGTTGAGAACATTCACTGGGGTCTTAAATTATTATCCAGTTGTATCTGTAGAAGTTTGAAGAAGTTAGAATTGAAAAACCACTGGGC